CAGGGAAGCCCTAAACAAGTTACTTTTTAAAAATGCATCAAATTTAAATGGTGTAATTATTTTCCTATTATTCGATCTTCATGACAGTGTTCTATTTCACTTGTCCCGTATCTTACGTTGCGCTCCCTCTCTCTCTCTTTCTCTTTTTTGGTGGGTTTGTGTCGTATATGTCAGTGATTGAACCAACTAATTCTCTTGCTGTGTAACTTCTGGATGCCTCCGATACAGTATCTTACTTCTTTGTAGGTAAGGAGGTATGTACGGAACTATATTCCCAAGCCCCACAATGGGCCTGTGAAAGGGGACACATGGATGGGCAAAGGATAGTTTTGTTTAGCATATTAGGTCATGGTTCTTGATTATTTTTTTTAAGTTAAGGATAACACATATGGTGTGTTCCTATACCAAAGAGATGCTTGTTTTGATATTAGAAAACTGTTTTTCTTATGTGTCATGAAAATTGCAATTTTTAAAATGTACAAAAATAAACTTTTGTTCAAACCAAATGTTATTTCCATTTTTTTGGGTTCATTATTTTAAAACTTTTTACTGAAATATTTCAAACCTAACAGGAAAGGTGAATGATTTGAAGAACACCCATGTATTCTCACCGTGTGGATTTACTGAATTAGCAGTTGGTATGTTTTCTTCAGATCTGTGCATGTATGTAAATGTTAGATGCATTTGAAGCTTGTTTTGTTACCTCTTTGATCCCATCCCCTTCTTCTCTCCCCAGAGATAACCACTGTCCTAGAGGTGGTGCATATTCTAGTTTGCGTTCTTGTATTTTTAATACGTATACACGTTTTCATAACACTGCAAAGTACTGTCCTGAAACTAATACTGTAAATCAACTATACTTCAGTTTAAAAAAAAAAAAACTACTATTTTGTGTATGTAGTAACCAGCCTCCAGAGGGCCCCAGTGGTCTTCTCTCGCCTGAAACCCATGGCCCTGTAGAGTCTCCCACGTTGAATAGTGCTGACTTGTGTAAGTAGCAGCCTATTGAGGAAATGCAGTGTGATTTCCCAGACCATACCTTTTGTCCATTTTTCTGTTATGTTTTGTGTTTCCCATAGGGATTTGTAGGTATTACATATTTTGAATACTAACTAATGATCCATCATGTATGTTTCAACCATCTTTTGTAGTCTGTGGTTTATTTTTATATTTGATTATAGAGTCTCCTTGAATAAACATTTTTCATTTTAATTTGATCTCACCAATCTTTCATAATAGTGTTTTCTGGGTCTTGTCTAGGAAACGTCATAAAGATGCTCTCCTATATGTCTTTCCAAAAGTTAAAAAAGTTTGCTTTTAATGTTTAGGTGTTTAATCCACCTGAATTTCTTTTTGCTTATGGTTTAATTTTCGGGTCTTGTTTTGTATGTGTATAGGTGTTCCTCCAAATACCATGTTTCAAATGCTACATGTCATTCGATTGCCGTATAAATGCCTCAGTCTGAGCTCTCTATTCTTTTGATCTATTTGCTTGATCTCAAGCTAAGATTCCCTGTAACTTCCCCTGTTTTGGCTGTATCATGAGTGTGATCTGTACTACTTTGGTTTTTGTGTGAGTTCCTCTCCCTGCCTCCCCCATGTATGTTTTTTTTAAGTTAGAAAAAGCATGTTAGTTGATTTCTAATTTTATTTAATTGCCATCAGCTTGGGCTAACCCTGATTTCAGGCACTGAGCCGTCTATGGACACTTTAGTTAATTCCTCTACCAAACTTATAGCTGCTAATGTTGGAGCTCACAGGCCTGCAGCTCCGCTCTGCTTATAGTTTCTGTTGCCCGGTAGGGTCCACAGAGAAGTTCATCTTACTTTCAAGAGTGGCATTTAAAGAAAATCATCCCGTTTTATATTTCTTTTTGCTCTGCTTCATGGGAGAGATTGGGGAAGAGCTCAGAGCATAAACATTTCTTAAAGACTTCAGAAAAAAATTTAAACTTAGCTCATTGCCAGCTCTATACAAACCTCAGACAATTTATTATTCTGACTGATGTAAACTTTTAAAAGCCTCAAGAGGCTGAAGTCAATAAGATGGAGTTTTTAGCATTAAAATAGTGTATTTAGTTTCAAAAGTTCCTAGTATGAAATATGCATCAGACAGTATGCTGGGAGCTTTATAGACATTATTTCATGTAAACCATATTAGCTCTCTGAGGAAAGTGATATTATTCCTATCTACAGAATAGAAAACAGGCTGAGATGAAATAATTTGCCTGAGGGCCTCTGACACCAAAACTAATATGCTTGTCTATAACATACCTAGCTACCTAGCTTTTGGTTAGACCTATTAATATTCAAGGTTGTGATTTTATTTACTCTTCCCATGCGATGGTTTATGTGTCAACTTGGCTGGACCACAGGGTACCCATATATTTTGGCCAAACATTCTGGGTGCTTGTGTGAGGGCATTTTTGGATGAGATTAACAAATTGGTAGCCTGAGTAAAACAGATTGCCCTTCATAATCTGGGTGGGCCTCATTCAATCAGTCGAAGGCCTTGGAAACATAGCTCTTCCTGCCTGATGACCTGTGAACTGAGACATTAGCTTTTCCTGGTTCTACAGAGCTTCTGGCCTTTGGACTTGAACTAGGACATTGGCTCTGCAGGTTTTTGGACTTGCCAGCCTCCATAATCACATGAGCCAATTCCTTATAATAAATCTCTTTATATATGTAAACATATATATATATATATATATGTATACACATTTGTTGAAAGCCTACCACATTCTTCATGTGGAAAACTGGTATCATTCCATGTAAGAACAGAAATGACTCAGACAAGGCATATTTTTAACAGAATTAAAGTTCGGGTAGTTTATTTTCAAAAGAAATCTATATAATTATTCAATAAATTTGTTATGTTTTTGATTCCAGTATTTTCATGTTTCAGACATTTGGGGGGTATTTAAAACTACCTGAAAACATTTTATTCCTGTGTAATGTTTTCAAATTATGAAAGCAAAAAATTTCAATAGCTCAGAGCTAAAAAGTATCTGATGAACTTGCCGACCACATGAACAGAAGGTAAATTCATCCCCTGATGACTTTCTCTGTAGAGTAAAAGTGTCCTATAGAGTAAAACATGCGGATCTTTTCCCCCTGAAGTTCAGGTCCTGAATCAGTGCATTATGGCCCTTTTTTTCTTTTCCCTTAACTGCTTTATTGAGATATAATTTACATACCATAAAATTCACCCATCTAAAGTGTACAATTCAGTGGCTTTTCATATAACCGCAGAGTTGTTTATCTACCACTACAATCAATTTTAGAACTTCTTTTTGCCCAAGAAGATACTCTGTACTTCTCAGGCATCATCTCCCCAAACCTCCCACCTCAGTAACCTCTGATCTACTTTGTCTCTATGAATCTGCTTATTCTAGATACGTCATGTAAATGGAATCATACAGTCATTTGAACTTTTTGTGCCTGGTTTATTCGCGTTCATCGTGTTATAGCATGTGTTAGAATTTATTTCTTTTATGGCTGAATAATATTCCATCATATGTATACACCACATTTTGTTTATCTGTTCGTCAGTTCACGGGCACTTGGGTTGTTTCCATCTTTGGCTGCTGTGAATAATGCTATGATGAGTATCTGAATACAAGGATCTGAGTCCTGTTTTCTTCTGGGTTTATACCCAAGAATGAAATTGCTATATCATATGGGAATACTATGATAAGCTTTTTTTTTTTTTTTTTTTTTTGGTACGTGGGCCTCTCACTGTTGTGGCCTCTCCCGTTGCGGAGCACAGGCTCCTGACGCGCAAGCTCAGCGGCCATGGCTCACGGGCCCAGCCGCTCCGCAGCATGTGGGATCTTCCCGGACCGGGGCACGAACCCATGTACCCTGCATTGGCAGGCGGACTGTCAAGCACTGCGCCACCAGGGAAGCCCTATGATAAGCTTTTGAGGAATCACCAAACTGTTTTCTACAGTGACTGCATCATTTTACATTCTGACCAGCAATGTAGAAAGGTTTTCAATATCCACGTCCTTGCCAATACTTGTTATTTTCTGTTTTTGTTTTTGTTTTTCTTAATTATAGCCCTCCTAGTACGTGCAGTGTTATCTCCTTATAGTTTAATTTGTATTTTCCTAATGATTAGTGATATTGAACATGCTTATTGGCCATTTATGAATCTTCTTTGGAGAAAAGTCTATTCAAGTCCTTTGCCCATTTAATAAATTGGGTCGCTTGTCTTTTTTGTTGAGTTATTAGAGTTCTTTATATATTCTGGACATTAAACCCTTCTCAGATATATGAATGAAACTTCTTTCATTCTGAAGATTGTCTTTTCACTTCTTTTAATAATGTTTGTTGATGCACAAAAGGTTTTAATTTAGATGAAGCCCAGTTTATCCATTTTTTTTCCTTTTGTTGCTCATGCTTTTGTTGTCATATCTAAGAATCCGTCGCCAAATCCAGGGTTTGGAAGATTTCCCATATATTTTCTTCTAAGTGATTCATGTCATATTTATGTCGTCAATTCGTTTTGAGTAAACTTTTGTATACGGTGCAAGGTAGGGGTCCAAATTCATTATTTTGCATATGGATATCCAGTTGTCCCAGCACCATTTGTTGAAAAAACTGTTCTTTCCCCATTTGATTGTCTTGGCATCTTTGTTGAACATCAACTGACTGTTAAATATGAGGGTTTTATTTCTGGACTCTCACTTCTGTTCCACTGATCTAAATGTCTATCCTTGTTCTAGCTTTTCTGACTCATTCCTTTGCCATACTTTTATTCTCTTTTTATGATCTCATATAATGGTGCTCATTTAAAGCAAAAAGACAACTGGGAAGGAAGTGACAGAGAGGTGCTGTTTTGAGTTAATATCAGAGCTCTTTTTTCATAGTAATAAATGTGTTTATTGGCTCTCAAGTATACATACTTGAAGAGAGGTAAGATGAGTTCTTAAAACAAAATGTCTGTACTTTGCTAATAATCAGACATTTTTTCTGATGCTAGTATACTGATTATTCCAAAACCATAAACCTTTATTTAAGAGTGTCTGTGATTCTCACTTTTGCTGGTAAGCAAGACAGACAAAGCTCTACCTTAAACTAGGAGCTGCAGATGGACTTTTTATATTCTTGTAGTTAAATACAACTTAACATTGCAAATTGAAAAGATTCTATACTGTCTACTCCCAGGAATTTACTGCAGTGCCATGCACACAGTGGGTACTCAATAAATGCATGGTAAAAGAATGAATGAACCTTGAAGTAGATTTCTCTTAGTTTCCTATCCAAAATATGTACCAGTTTATACACATTATCAATATAATTTATTTCCCTTTACATGGGCATCAGTCATTTTGATTTTTTCCCAAATAGCCTCATGTCCATGTAAGCTAATTTATTTTAGCCGTTATTATAAATTATTTTGTGGCATTTATTTTATACTAATAAATCCATCATAAAGCATCCCACAATATTCTCTGTGTAGAAATAGGTTTCGGTCGGTTATGAATAGGAATTGAGTCTAGTTGATTGCGAAATGAGTGATAGTTCGCAGGGGTCTGTGAAAAGAGCTGGCTTCATCAGCTCAGAGGGCACCTCCTGCACGGGCCACATTTCTACCCAGATGAACGATGGAGCGTATGTCTTCTGACTTCCTTTGCTGTCAATAGATCTTCTCTGTCTGTAGTTATACCAAAACTGATGGATCATTTCTTTGAATGGTCTTGTGGTCAGAGTATAGAGAATTGGGTTCAAAGCACTGTTGATAGGCAGAATAAAAATCACTACCCAAGACGTTATGGTACCTGGAAGAGAAAAATGAAATTCCTTGAGTGTTTATAGATGTTTACAAGGTATGGAGACACCTTGTCCTTGTTTCCCCTAACCCCCCAGCCCCCCACACTGACTTTTGAGTCTTAATTTTTTTCCCCTTGATGTCATATAATTAAATACCAAGTCTGTATGTGTCTCCAGGACGCCAGTGTTTGAGGGAGGTGCTAACACTATCAAAAACCAGCTTTTTTTGCTAAGTAGCTTTTCTCGAATACATCAACAAAAGTATTCTATTGGGTAGAAATGTGTTTTACCAAGTGATTATATATTACTCAGATAGGATTCCATCTTAGGAAAAACAATATTGTTTAGTATTTGAATCATACCTTTTCAAGTGTTTTAATTATTAGATAGTACATGTAATATTTCTCAGAATATATAGACTTAGCTTTAATAGATTTCTTTTCTGATATTTATTTGGTTTGAAAAACACGTATGCAGTTTTAGGCTTTTGACTAGATATTTATTTCAGTGAAAACATCTTTGGCTAACCTTATCTTAAAATTACTGCAGTATATATGCAACTACCTAATACTCAGATTTTTATTATAATTTAATTTATGCTCTCTTCCCTCTTTTACTTATAAAATGTAAGGCACTATCACCACCAACCATGGGATAAAGCAAAATTAAAGTTGTATGTTTATAAATTTTTAAAGTATGAATATATATTGCAGTATACATACAGTTAACAGGATTTTATACATTTTTTTATTGTGGTAAAATATACATAACATAAACTTTTCCATTTTAACCATTTTTAAATGTACAGTTCAGTGGCATTAACTACATTCACGTTGTTGTACCACCATCCATTTCCAAAACTTTTTCATCTTCCCACACTGAAACTCTGTACCTTTAAACACTACTCCCTCCCCCCTCCCCCCTCCTCCCCCTAATCCTGACAACGCCATTCACAAACTTTTCATCTCTGTGACTCTGACTACACTAATTACCTCATATAAGTGGAATCCTACAGAATCTGTCCTTTTGTGACTGTCTTACTTCAGTAGCATAATGTTTTCAAAATCTATCCATGTTGCAGCATGTATCAGAATTCCCTCCCTTTAAAGGCTGAATAATAATCCATTGTGTGTATAAAACTCATTTGTTTTAAGCCTCCGTCCATTGATGGACCCTTGGGTTGTTTCGCTCCCACATTTTGGCTACTGTGAATGATGCTGTCATGAACATGGGTGTATGAATGTCTGTTTGATTCCCTGCTTTCAATTCTTTTGGGTATATACTCAGGAGTAGAATTGCTGAGTCCCATGGTAATCCTATGTTTACGTTTTTGAGGAACCACCATACTGTTTTCTACAGCAGCTGTGCCATTTTACATTCCTACCAGCACAAGGGTTCCAATTTCTCCACATCCTTGCCGGTACTTGTTATTTTCTGTTTTTGAGAACAGCCATCCTAATGAATGTGATGCGCCCTATTTTTAAATATCAAGAGTGCCTCTTCTGTCGTCTCTCACACTCTGGGGTAATGTTCCCTAAATTGCTATGTATTTCAGGAAGAAAAATTTCTTATGTTCTAAAAAAAAAAATGAAGTAATTATTTGATAATCATTTTGACCTGTGTTCCTTTCTGGTCATCTTAAGCATGGGATTATCAGAATTTCAACACAGTGAGTATAATTTATGGGAATCATTGTTCCTTTGTTCCCATAGTCACTATGTTTTTTGGCATTTGTGGAAAAAATTGAACACGTGGCAGCCTCCAGCTTGCACCAGGAGAAGCTGTAGCCCCTGCCATGCTCTGGCTCCAGCCCCCCAGCCCTCAAGGCAGCAGCTGCCAGTGGCCCAGGAGAAGCCCTGGCTCACGTGGGGCTCTAACTGTAGCCCCTTCGTCTCCAACCCCCAAACCCCCACCAAGGCGACGGGCCTGACATGCCCCAGGAAAACCCTTGCCCCTTTTGTTTCAGATTCAGCTCTCCCACCAAAGCCACTGGGCATGTGCAGACCACATAGGGGTGCTCCCACATAAGGACACAAATCAAGCTCAGGATAGGCAACTGTTTTGCCTAATTTCACAGAGACAAACAGAGAAAGTCAAACAAAATGAGGTGACAGAGGACTATTTTCCAAATTAAAGAGCAAGATAAAACCCCAGGAGAAAAACCAAAAGAAATGGAGATAAGTAAGTTACCTAACAAAGAATTTAAAGCAATGGTCATAAAAATGTTCACCCGCCTTGGGAAAGGACTAGAGGAGCACACAACTGTAACAAAGAAACAGAAAATGTAAAAGAGAACCAATCAGAGCCGAAGAATACAATAACAAATGAAAAATACACTAGAGGGTATCAACAGTAGAGTAAGTGATACAGAAGAATGAAACAGAAGAATCCTTAGCAACCTGGAAGACAGAATAGTGTAAATCACTCAATCAGAATAGCAAAAAGAAAAAAATAATTTAAAAAAAAATGAGGATAGTTTAAAGGACCTCAGAGACAGCGTCAGGTGTACTAACATTTGCATTATAGGGTTCCCAGAAGGAGAAAAGAGAGAGGAAGGGGGCAAAAAATGTATTTGATTAAATAATGGCTGAAAATTATTTAATTTAACCTGAAGAAGGAAGCATCTGATCCAGGAAGCACATAAAGTCCCAAACAAAATGAACTCATATTTCCTGAGGAATACCTCAGGAATACCTGAGTATTGCATATTTCTTCCTGATGCACTATTTTGCAAGGTATTCCATGCAAATGGAAATCAAAAGAAAGCCAGAGTAGCAATACTCATCAGACAAAATAGACTTTAAATGGAAGACTGTTATAAGAGACAAAGACTGACACTACATAATGATCAAGGGATCAATGCAAGAAAAGGATATAACAATTATAAATGTATATGCATCCAACATAGAATCACCTAACTCTATAAGGCAAATATTAATGGACAGATTTTTAATTTCTTTACAGGAAGAAAAAATTCATACCTGGTATTTCTACCTGAAGCAATGACAGGAATTTCAGTATAAAGATGGGTATCCAGCATAATGCATCGGTAAAAACAATAAAGAAAAAACGTTTGGCAAGGATCATCTCTTTCCTAACTTGATTCCGTACTTCGGTTGCTGTTATGGCACTTTGATGGATGCTGTAAAACATGCTTCCATATGAGAAAACGATGATGATAAATGCTGCTAAGTTAATACCTATGAAGAACACAGAGATGATGATTAATGAATAAGCACATTCTTTCAGAACAAGCAAACATACCCTGAGCTGTTATTGTAAAGGAGAAGATACAAAGACCACAATGTGTTTTTTGTTCTTTGTAAGAATTACTAAGGCACAAAAATCATTAATTAAAAAATTCTAAATATTGTTGAAGCTATAAGCATGATGAACTGTTTATTTTTAAAATGGCGTATTAAAATTAGATTATAGTGATTCAATGACTATCTTGGGCTTATTAAATTAATCTGTCTTGTGTTAATTTTTTTGGTAATTCAATTACTTTGTGATATTTTGAGAATATTTTTCACAAGAGGACATACTTGGTTGTCTGCTCCCAAGCCAAAGACTTGTGTGGCTACTTTGAATTTGTTCATATTATAAAGGCAAAGAGTTAAAATATGTTTTGCTTAGTATTATTAGGGTGATTGCATGAAATGCAAGTGTTTAGCATCTTGTCTTTTATTCAAGTGTATCACATAAGAATTAATATGATGAACTGGTAATTTAGAAAAAATAATCCCTTTAGGGGATTCTGATACAATCCACCCTCAATGTCCATTCTGGTTAGAAGATCTGAAATAGAAAATTGTAAATATCAAAAGGCATAATGAGGTTCAGATTGTGATTTATTCTAGCATTTGAATGAAAGGGCTTCTAATACAGAGTTTCTTACCGAGAAAAATTGCCACTGAATAAATCTGGGCTCCAGTACTTTCTGTATCTTCTGAATGAAGAGGGAAGCATACCCCATTGGTGCCGTAGTAGTTTTTGAAAAATTCTTTATTGCTCAGTGGAATGAAAGCCACGATAAAACCGATAATCCAAATGAGAATCAAAACTGTAATGGTTCTGCCTTTTCCAGGTCTTAAACATCTGAAAGGATATACAATGCAGATATATTTTTCCACTGTCAGAAATGTTAAAAGTAACACTGATACTTCTGTGGACAGAATGGCCAGGGACCCCAGAAGCTGGCAGTGAGTGCTCTCCATCCACAGCTGTGCGTGCTTGTTGTATTCTCCTCGAAACTTCAGGTCAAAGGCTCCGATCACAAACAAATAGATTCCCATCAGGCAGTCGGCACCTACAGGGATCAGTGAATTTCACAAATTTAGAGAAATAAATAGGTAAGGTGGAGTTATCATTAAGCAGAATTTTTTTTAAAATTTATTTATCTATTTGTTTTTGGCTGCTTTGGGTCTTCGTTGCTGCGCGCGGGCTTTCTCTAGTTGCGGAGAGCGGGGGCCGCTCTTCATTGCGGTGCACGGGCTTGTCATCGCGGTGGCCCGTGATGTAGCGGAGCACGGGCTCTAGGCGCATGGGCTTCAGCACTTGTGGCTCGCGGGCCCTAGGCTCAGCAGTTGTGGTGCACGGGCCTGGTTGCTCTGTGGCATGTGGGATCTTCCCGGATCAGGGCTCGAACCCGTGTCCCCTGCATTGGCAGGCATATTCTTAACCACTGCGCCACCAGGGAAGCCCCAGAAATATTTTTAATATTAGCCCCAAATAGCCAAGTTCCTTGTATCTTGGGGGCGGGGGAGGGAAGTTTTATTCTAAGAGTTCACTTATGGGTAAGGACCACTTCATCAACTCTTCCTGCTAAGCACTCTTAGAGCATCCTCTGCGGCCAATTATGTAATCATTCCTCTGTTTTCGTCTAACACACAGTCTGTAAGAGCAGGGATCTTGTCTGTTTTGCTCTCTGTTCTAGTCCCGTCACCTAGCAGTGCTGAGTAAATGAGTAAAATGCATGAGCATTCAATTAGGGACAAGATTGGGAAGCTATAATTTGGTTCATCTCTTCCATGGACGTTCTCCCAGCTTAAGAAACTTAAGTCATTCAAAATCCCAGAGAAAGTAATCCAGAAGTTGCTATGACAGAGTAATGACTATGAATTTTGAGGTCTGTCATTTTGAAGATGTGAGTAATTATGAAGTGCTCTGTAGTCAGTATAATTCTGAGGGGCTTCAATGAGTCCCCCAGGGGTGGTCGAAGCAAAACTGTTCTCTCTGATTCTTTCTTCCCATCTTTCTCTGTCTCTTTCAGACTCCTCCATCCCCCACATCAGCTGTTAATGTGATACACTTCTTGGTGTATTTGTTTTTTAAGCAAATATTACATATCAGAGAGTAGGTGAGATTTTTTTTTGACTGCGCAAGCATTCTATACAACATTCCTGAAGTCACATCACGGTATACATCGTAAGGCTGGCCCTAATCTTTAAACACCGAGGTTATATTCTAGCCTTTATCAGGGAAATTGAGCAAACTCAAAATTGTGTAGCTAACAATACAAAGTAGTAAACCATTTCTGAGCTCTGCTTCTTGGGTGTCTTGCAATGAAAAGACAGTTCGACATTATACTTTGAGTGAGGGCGAGGGTAAGACATGGCACGGCACTTGTAAAGAAGGAGAACATCGTATAGATTGATTCCTGCTTGAGGTAGGATGGGTAAATTATAGGCCACTTGACCAAGATTATAAACACCCTGAGGACTGGTTTCTTGCTTTTATTTAATTAATTTATTTTTGTATTCCTCCTTTAACATAATACCTTGCAATCACGTTTCAAAAACTTAAAAAATTTAATACTACCTAAACCACTTTCTTATTTAAATATTTCAAATTATGAATGGAAAAGAATGTAGAAGCTCAGAGGCCAGAAAAACAACGTTTGAAGTCAGCATCCATGAACTGGACATTCAAACAAGAAATAAACACAGCTCTGGAACCATGAAAGGGTCCAATTTGATTATAGTAAAAGATTTTACATGCTTTGATAAAATATTATTTTATTAAATAATAAAGGTATTATTTATAATATCATAATTTTAAATAAATTATTTAATAATATTAAATTCGCTTTCTTCTTCCTTCAGAGAAGAAAGCAAATGAACAAAAGCTTCTTTATGAGAAAAAAATTAATGAATGAGCCCTTCATTAATCTGTGTAAGGTGACTGAGTTTTCTTATTTTAAAAACTTATTTTCTTTCTTATCGCTAAAGTAATTTTATTTTCATTGTAGCGAACGTGAAAACAACATATAAGCAAAGGGGAGAAATTTTAAAAATCTCATAATTCTACCGCTCTCGTTACTTATTGTCTAATAGCAATGCTTTCATATATTTTGAAACTGTTATTCCTCTTCAGCCAGGAGATACTCACAGCAGAGGGAAATGATCGACATGGCATGCAGCTTGTTCTCAGATCTGATATAAGGTCGCATACAGATGACAAAGATGTTTCCAAAGCATGTAACTGCAGACACAACCCAGACGAATACTCTCTGAATAATGCTCGCCAAGAGATCCTCTAAAGATGAGATTCCATCAGTGTTTGGTTTACAGCTGCGAACATGGGGTGCATAGCCACAGTACTGGAACTTCTTAAAATAGCTGACGTGCAGAGAGAAGGGAAAAGAAGATTTTAAGCTGAAGTCAGTGTCACTCTACATTCATAGCTATTTTCTACATTCTCTCAGTAGAAAGAAAACGTCTTAATATGAGACTCAGAGGAATGAATGTAAAACATTAGGGATACTGAAGATTTAACCTTAAGTTTAATTCTCATTGACTTGGTTTTTAAAAGAACGTGTGGGTGAGAGCCGCAAAAAGGCGTAATAAACATACAAGTGTTCGACATGTCTTAGAATATAAGTCAAATGTTAGCACGTGATCAGGACAATCCACCCAAGGAAACTTGTTACTGGGTTTTCAGCGTTTAGTGCATGTGCTAATAAATCCACCGTTACATAACTCCTACGGTTGCTGCAACTGATTTTTCTTTTTCAAACCCAGGGGAAGAGAATTTGTCCTCTGTGTTTCTATGGCTTTTCTAGTATAGCATTTGTGTGATCTGTAGCTACTTGCTAACAACATGCTTATCCTCACACTAGAGTTTGGTACATAATAGGGTGTTCGATAAATGTGTGTTGAGTGAATTCTTTCATCAGTAGAGAGACCTCCCTTGTCAATAAGACACCACCGGGATAATCAGTAATTACTACTGTGCTACCACCAACACCAGCACCGTTTATTGAGCATCTCCCAAGTATCAGGAATAACTTCTCAGATCAGCTCTATGAGGTTGATGTCAGTATCATCATACAAGAAGATGACTCTTCAATGGAGGCAAATTAGCTGCTAGGAAATTTTCTAATAAATGCAGAAATTAGGATTTAAATTAGATCTTTCTAATTTAAATTAGATCTTTCTAAAGGGGTGTACTCTGGCAAAAAATATAAGTGATCTTTATAGTATAAGGAGTTGTAGTAAAATACAAGATAAAAACTTGACAATTACAGTATATTGTCCTGTTGTTTAACTCTCGCTGCCTGGATCCCAGGATCTGCCGTGGTTTCTGCTCAGTTCGGTTCTGTTCCTTGTTTCTTGGGTTTTGTGACCTACACCATTTTCTTCCGATAAACTCTGCTTTGCTTCATTTAGTCAGAGTGTTTTATGTTGTGTGCAACCAAGGAGACTTTTATAGGCATGCTCTCTGGGGAATTATGGGAAAAAAACTCCCAGTATCCTCTGTTAGATTTAAAATACAAGCAAGATTATAGAGTGGTGGTGACTGCCATGACCCTTTCTAAATGATTGGGAATTAATTACCTTGGCATGGAGACCATTCGAATATATTTCATATATATACTGCTATATATTACATTCAATTAAAGAAAATGTTTCTGAAGCATGTAATTGATGGCATGATGAGACACACTGTTTGAATGAAAGATTTTTCATGGTTTACCATTTTATCCATACACTCTTGCACATCATGCCCTGACATTGTGGGCCGTTTTCACTGAGGAGGATTTCTCTCTTCCCTTCCTCCATTTACATGAATTATTTATAATTATTTTATGTTGTTTATGTAACTTCTTCATCTGGTCGCATCTGTGCCACGTGCACAAATTACTAGCTGAGTGGACAAACTTGACCATCAGTGAGTGGCATCAGGGCTCGGGAGAGTTTACAAGCCTGAGTGGGTTCCCTCCACACTCCTGCTGTCTGACATTCAGACAAAACTCCTTTCATTCTGCCAGACCATGGAGAACTAAAAATCACCCCACCCAATACCAACGCTTTAAGAGTTAATTATTGTTTAGGCAAATTAGTCAGTAGAAAATGTTAATAGATTGGATGCATTGGGTATGGAGGTATTAGCACAATACATGGAAACGTAAAAGACTAAAATCAAGGTGAAGAACAAGAAAAAACATCTGCTTACATGTGAGAGAGATTCGTGAGAGGTCTAAACATCCTTTGTTGGATATTTGAAATTTCAATTCCTTCTAGGCTGCTAAAAATATCAAATTAATTATCAAAAAAATATGTTATGCAGGGTATAATAAAATGAGTTTTTGTGACGGACAGTTTAATAAAATGCTGTTAGTTAACACTTATTTGGAACCAAACATTCGTACTTAACCTTCCCTAGGCACTTCCCCAACTCCTTTAAACATTTTTTTATTAAAAAAAAAATTTTATTGAATGAAATATTCGTTAAATTCTACAGTGCTTTACAATTTTCAAAAGTTTCACACACATGATTTCATATGATCCCATAATAACCCATTTTTTTCTCCCAATGCCTTTTTGATTTTGCTATTTATATGTATAGATCCTGCTTATTTGAATTTTTTGGCTTCGAATAGAGTGGAACAATGTTTTTTGCATAGTAACTACTCAATATATATATTTGAAATAAATGAACAAGCATTATCTTTTAGACAATATTGCAATAGCAGAGGCATTTTACATGCTTGAAGTTTTTCTAATAATTTTAAATAATGTTTTTCTAATAAAATGCCATTTTACTGAGGGAACACTTAAAAGAACTGAAGCTTACCTTCTTAAGGCAATTCTTAGACCTTAACATAATTTGTGTGTGTGTGTTTATGTGTGTGTGTGTTGCAAGTCATGACTTATATCATCTAGAACATTCCATCTTGGGATAACGATGGCTATAATAAATTCTTAGATACCCAGTGCTAATGAAGGAATAAATATGCATAGATGCCTTCAGAGGATCAAGCAAACAATCCAATATAAGCTTCTGGTGATTACAGAAATATATGAAATGATTAATCATTATCTAATTTGTGGCTTATAAATATGAAAGATTAAACTAATAGCTATCTGTTTGTAGCCCAGCAAGCACTCATCTTAACCAATATCCTGGGACTAAAGCTTCTGATTTGAGATCCTATCAATCTTATTTTATAGAATTTATTAGCTATTTGTATGTAAATAAAAATTACGTCATAAAACTATCCCCATAGGTGTATACTCACAGAGACTTGAGTTTGACAAGGTAATCAAATTGGTTTGCTTGAATTTTCTGGATTGGGTTATAGGAGAGATTCCTGTTTTAAAAAAAGAGCAGCAATAGGTCAATTCTTAAAAAGTATTTGAGTAAAGAGAAAGTGTGTCTCTTGACTTAGGGTTACTTTTAAACAGTAACAAAAAAAGTACAGCAATGTCAATTGACCCCTAGGGCTAGTTGGACATTCAAATGGATTAATGGAAACAGAACTCTTAGGCCAGTGCACGGCTGTCAGTAAGTGCGTTAATGACAGAGCTGAAAGAACATAAGCACGAAGGTGGGGAGGTCCAGAGACAGTCCCACCAGAGGAGCAGCAGGGTACCCAAAGGGAAGCCACACCACTTTAGGTTTTGCCTATCATCAGGTGTGGTTTAAATGAAAGAAAGAAGAATCTCATTTAGTCAAAACTTGAATTAGTGAAATCACATTGAATACTTTTTACAATAAATCATGTCAAAGAGTGGCATATTGTGTTAGCAATTTGTGAGGCATGAAATGAAAAGTAAAAGGCTCTATAGTTAGAAACAAAGAAACAGAGGTCAGAGTGACAGTGTAGCTGAGTGTAAATGGAGAAAATTTCAGAATCTTTGCAAAACAACACCTCGAAACAAGAATTGTTGATTAAAGGGACCTTCTCAGGGCAGGTTCACTTTTTAAGAAACGTATTGCAGATTAGACCATTAGTTGGGTGGGGGGGGCAGTGACTACAGAAAGAAGGGAAGAGAGGAAGGATGACAATAAGAAATGTGTTGTATGAAAGAAGGGAAAGGGACTCAACAATCTATGAACAGAAGGAAACGACCTTAACATAATAAAAGCCATATAGGAAAGCCACAGTGAGCATCATAGCCAATGGTGAAAGGCTGAAAGCTTTTCCTCTAAAATCAGCAAGAAGACAAGGATGCCCACTTTTGCCATTTCTATTCAACATACTACTGGAAGTCCTAGCCAGAGCAATTAGGCAAGAAATAAAAGGCATCCAAATTGCGAAGGGAGAAGTAAAATTATCTCTGTTCACAGATGACATGATTTTATGTGTATAAAACCGTAACGATTTCGCACACGCATACACACAAAAACTGTCAGAACTATTATAATAAAAAATTCAACAAAATTGCCATATGTGAAACCAACACATAATAATCAGACAATAATCAATAATCGAATGCATTTCTATACACTAACCATGAGCAATCCATAAAGAAAATTAAGAAAATGATTCCATTTACAATAACATCAAAAGAACAAAGTACTTAGGAATAAACTGAATAAAGGTGAAAGACTTGCACTTTGAAAACAAAATGTTGCTGAAAGAAATTAAGGAAGACATCAGTTAAAGAAGACATTCTGTGTTTTGGAACTGGAAGACAATATTGTTAAGATGTTAATACTACCCAAAGCAATCTACAGATTCAGTGTCATCTCTGTCAAAATCCCAATGATTTTTTTTTGGCATAAATAGAAAAATCCATCCTAAAATTCATGTGGAATCTCAAGGGAACCTGAATATCTAAAACAACCTTGAAAAAGAAGAACAAAGTTGGAGGTCCCACTTCCTGATTCAAAACTTACTACAAAGCTACAGTAGTCAAACCAGTGTGGTGCTGGCTAAAAGATAGTTGTATAGAACAATGGAATAGAATGGAGAGCCCAGGAACAAGTCTTTGTATATATAGTCAAATAATTTTTAAAATGTGCCAAGATTGTTCAATGGGGAAAGGACATCTTTTCAACAGATAGTGCTGTGAAAACCAGATAGATATCCACATGAAAAAAAAAAAAGAGCTTAGACCCTTAGCTTCCACCATGTACAGAATTAACTCAAAATGGGTTAAAGGCCTAAATAGAAAAGCTAAAACTTTAAAACTCTTAGAAGAAGTCATAAGAGAAAAGCTTCATGACATTGGATTAAGCAATGACTTCTTGTATATGATACCAAAAACATAGGTAACAAAAGAGAAAAAAAACCAAGAGTTGGACTACATCTAAATCAAAAACTTTTGTGCATCAGAAAACACTGTCAACAGAGTAAAGAGGCAACCTACAAAATGGGAGCATACATTTGTAAGTCATATATCTGAAAATGATTTAATATCTAAAATATATACACTCCTACAACTTAACAACAAAACCCCAAACAACCCAGTTTAAAAGTGAGCAAAAGACTTGAATAGGTATTCTCTAAAGAAGTTACATGAATGGCCAATAAGCACATGAAAAGATGCTCAACATCATTAATCATTAGAGAAAAGCAAATCAAATCCACAGTGAAACACCATTTCACCTCCATTAGATTGGCGATTATCAAAAAATATAAAATAGGGCTTCCCTGGTGGCGCAGTGGTTGAGAATCTGCCTGCCAATGCAGGGGACACGGGTTCGAGCCCTGGTCTGGGAAGATCCCACATGCTGCGGAGCAACTAGGCCCGTGAGCCACAACTACTGAGCCTGCGCATCTGGAGCTTGTGCTCCACAACGAGAGGCCGCGACAGTGAGAGGCCCGCGCACCGCGATGAAGAGTGGCTCCCGCTCCCCGCAACTAGAGAAAGCCCACGCACAGAAACGAAGACCCAACGTAGCCATAAATAAATAAATAAATAAATATTTAAAAAAAAAAAAAAAAAATATATAAAAAAAAAAGTGTTGTTAAAGAGGTGGAGAAAGTAGAATCCTTGTGCACTGGTAGTGGGAATATAAAATAGTGTAGCCACTATGCAAAAGAGTATGGTGTTTCCTTTAAAAATTAAAAATAGAGTGGCCGTATGATCCAGTAATTCTACTTCTGGGGTTATATGCCCAAAGAATAGAAAGCAAGCTCTTGAACAGATATTTGTACACCCACATTCATAGCAGCACTACTCATAGCAGCTAAAAGGTGGAAGCCACCTAAGTGTCCACCAAGGGATGAATGGATAAACGCCGTGTGGTACTTACATACAGCGGATTATTATTCAGAATGATAATATTCAGAACTTCTGACACATGCTACAACCTGTGGATGAACCTTGAGGACATTATGCTAAGTGGAATAAGCCAGTCATAAAGGGACAAATATGTATGATTCCACTGATTTATGAGGTACTTAGAGATGCCAAATTCATAGAGCCAGAACAGAGTGATGGATGCTGGAGGGGCAGGGGTTGATGGGGAGTTAGTGTTTAATATGTACGGAGTTTCAGTTTGGAAAGATGGAAAAGTTCTAGAGATGGATGGTGGTGATGGTTGCACAACAATGTGAATGAAGTTAATGCCACAGTTGTACACTTACACATGGTTAAAATGGTAAATATACATACTTATGTATATTTTAATCACAATTTTTAGAAGTAAAATAAGTTAAAAAATAAAGATACAAAATTCGTATCAGTCTTACAACTGTGAGAGCTCCTTCAGATCCTTAAAGACAAGTGATGAAAGATTTTCAATCTTATTACTTCCTAAATCCCTAGGGAAACAATTGCAAATGTCATATTATTTCCTTAAGACTTTACTCATAGTTCTGTAATTTATTAAAAAAACATTAGACTACTTTCAAACAATGCCATTAGTGAGTTATATTAATTAATAGAAGTCAAAACTGTAAAAAGGGAGTGAAATGGTAAAAGATAAAAATACTTTATCCCATTTTATTGCTCACTCAGAGACAGTACTTGGTGGTATTTGATCTAGTTCTAATAGATACAATTTTCTAATTCAGTTAATATATGTGTTGTGCCCTTCTTCCTTTCTCTTCTTCCTCCCCTTCCTCCCTCCCTCCCTCCCTTCCTTCCTTTGCTAAAGTAGAAATATGCTTTGGAAACTTAATTTTTTCCTTTGCATGGGTGTATTATAATTTTCAACTGGAAGTGGATTATTTCAGTTTCCAGTTTCTTCCACAGCTGATATACACCGGGTCTCATACACACCTGGGGCAGGATATTTCGTAAGTTACTTCATGTATGTATAGAGGTTGGGCTGCCTAAAGTGGTATGAACTTGTAGCTTATTTGTGAGAAGATTTCGGACAGTAGCAGCTCTTCCGGTAGCTTTGACAGCGGCAACTGACGTGAGAAAGGCCTCAGATTCTTCTAAACAAGACAATCTTTCAATAGGCTTGAGTTCTTCAATGTCATCAAGAGATACTAAGAGAAAGCCTAACCACTTTCCCTGTCCATCTCCAAATCCTATTAGTTGCTACAGGGAGAAGCATGGGAATAGATCTATTTGTTATTGCAGTGCTTTTAAATCAAAAGTTAGGTTATTCAACTCGGAAGGGCAAGAAAGATTTAGACTGAGTCTTTAAAACTAAAAAGTAGCTAATGTAATCAATACTATAAATGTCTTTGCTGTAAATGTTTTATTTTTATACTGTAAACTGAACCTTGAGGCTGTTTTTGTTATTTATGTTTTCATGGGTGAATTGTCTGTGAAGATAGATGGTCTGATTTGACAACAAAAGGAATGTTTATAAAATTTCACCCCTTAAAATCCTTCAATAGCTCATTGTTGCATAGAAGATAAAATCAAAACTTCTTAGTGTGGTATAAAAAAGCCTTTAAATATCTTGCCACTGTCTAGCTTTCCAGCTCAGTTTCCTACCACTTTCTACTCAGTCAAAATGACTTTCACCAGGGCCTGAAGGCGTCTCAGTATTTCAACCTCCGGGGGTGCTTCCTTCTGCCTGGAATAAGCTTTGATTCTTGTCCTTCTGGTGAACTCCCTATTCATCCTTCAAGATTCTGCTCAGATAAACAACAGGGATTTACGGTACAGCACAGGGAACTATATTCAATATCCTGTAATACCCTGTAATGGAAAAGAATCTGAAAAAAGAATGGGTACGCATAACTGAATCACTTTGCCGTACACCTGAAACTAACACGATATTGTAAATCAACTTTACTTAAAAAAAAAAAAAAAAAAGATTCTGCTCACGTGTCACTCCTCTGTGACCAGGGAGCTTAGGCGTTCTCTTCTCTGTTCTCCTGTATGTAGCATGTATAACACATACAGCACTTATAACATCATATTAAAACTGTTTCTGTACATACGTTCTCCTCTTCCGAAGGATGTGATCTCTTTCAGTGCAAGCCCTGTACCTATTCAACTTGGGCTCTCCAGCATCTAGCTTAATTTTTGGCTAGCTATTCTTTGTATCCCTACCTAGAAGACCATTAACAGACTCGACCTGCTTCATATGTAGGTAAAAGTGGCGGCACAATTCCAGTTCTTTGTATGGGAAGCCAAGTAAAAGATGGATCATGTTAGTGAGGCAATGTGGAAAACAGATTTCGAAGAGCCCACCAGGATATTAAGTCTTGAAATATTATGTTCAGCTGTTTCTGGTGGGAGTGTGCTGTTTTGGCTATTAGAGCCAATTCTGACATATAGTTCTTTTATCATGAATCACGGAATGGGGACCATTTGGCCTAGACCCTAAGTGATGTGTAAAAAGACCATTTTCTCAGTTTCGTTTTAGGAAAGTTGGTCTAAACTTAGCTGGACTTGAGGTCCATTTCTGAATGGGTTCAGGAAACACATTATCACCTAGAGTAGTTGACTTTAAAAGCACACAGTAAATCAAGCCTGTAGCCAAGAGTTTCTGCCATCAGAACTAAAGTCTACTGTGAGAAGTCAATCCTGATTATTGCCAATTTATTTGCCCTCATTAACTCTGTCAGTGGGATCCAGCCAGGAGAGGCACAGAGTGTAGTCCAAACCCTCTCTCAAAGGGAGAGTCACTCATTTGAGGTCTAGACCCACCCATTTAAAGCCATCACCTCTTAGAAAACATGCCATTTTCATCCCTGTAAATCCGATTTTTCAAGCCAGCATTGGGTATGGGACTCGGCAGGGTTTAGGCAGGACTAATTCTTGGCCTTGGTGCCCCTCTCTGCCCCTCTGTTGCTCTTTCCTTTATCTCTGAACCTGCATTAGCGCTGGTTACGGACCAAGCTGTTGTGTTCCATGCTCACTACTGGTTACTGATACTTAGAACCTGCACCTCAGCGCCACCATGCAAGTCAGGATTGGCAGAAATTACCTTCTGGTATTCAGATCGCGGTGGCAAGTAGGATAAAACAAGGGAAAGCATGGACCCCTCGACGAGCGTGTATTTTCATGGCTAGATACTACCTTTCGAGTCACCTACACGCACCTCTCCCTACTACTGAGAATAAAATAATTTCCCATGTGTTGATGGTATGGTTCACTTGCCAGACACTGGGAGCTGTTACAGCAGGTGCTTGGTTCTGATATCTATTGAGATTTTCTTGTGCGTTTTGTGAATGATTGGTACGGTCTACTGAAAAAGGTTTCAAGCTAATGGTCGTGGAAAAACGGGGTTTCAGTGGCTTGTTTGTTGATGTTTTGGAGCACAATGCTTCATTGGTTCCCGAGGAACGTTTCTGTCTGTGGCATGTGTATTCCCTCCACCTGTCCTAGTTTGCAGGTAAGGTGTCCCGAGAAACAGTTTAGTTACACTCTTTAATTTTTATGGACAAGTTTTAATGAATCAAAGTTCTTCCCAGTTAATTGTCAAACATATACCTTCTGTCCATACTCCAGATTCTTTCTAGAACTCACAAAATCAAACTGGTGGCTAGCCTAAACTTTAGCAAAAACCCAATTGAAGAAATTAATGGTAAAAAATAAAAAATTGTCTGAAGGACATGTACTTCATTTGTTGTCCTGTGTATATTTTATTTGGACAATCAGCTCCTATGTGCTTGGACCACAAGGCTTTGATTTATCAGAGAGTTGTCTTAATGTCCTTTGGAACTGTGTCATTGATCTTAAAAAAGGGACGTTATAAATAGCTCTCTTTTCCATTATTATAGACTGGGATGTTACCCATGGTAGTGTCTAATTTCCTTATGGATCCAAGATTATCCTTTGGTTTCAGAATCAGCAGAGTCGTGTCTTTTTATCTCCTGGTTTTTAAATCCTAACTCTCCAGGAAACTTAAAGATAAATTTGCTATCCCTCTCCAGCAGTGGGTTAGAGTGGTGCAAGATGTATTTTATTTATCGATCTCCCCAGACTTTATTCTTTCTCCACAGCTATGTTTCCCTTACCTCACTTTCCTCAAATATTTATTTCATAGTTTTCCTTTACACATATTTTTTTAACTATCAGAATTCCTTTGTGGCTCAAGGTATGCAGAAATAGTGCTAGGAAGAGAGAAAAATAAATCTTTCTTAAATGTATAAAAATGTATACGTGTGACAACTATGAACTGGAACAGTAGAAAGAAAATTCTTATCAATATATGTGTAATCGAGCTTACAATTCATCTAGTTTCTGGAGCGGTGCAAACGCGTTTTCACTGAGGTGATTAATTTTGTTTTTCCTCATTACCCTGAAAGTAAAAAGAAAAGGATGTTGTAGCTTCCAGAGGTAACTGATAGGTGAGTTATTGGAGAAACAAAAATAATTACGTGGAGTGCACTTTTCACGTCAAGAGAGGTTGAAGTAGCGTGATAAATTACCCTGTCTGTAATAACTTTAATCTTAAATTTCCCAGATCTTTCAATGATGATAAAAGTAAAGTAGTGTTCAAATTTCTAAGTGATTTAGGGAAGAGCTCCACAGGGGAAGAGTGAAAACCTTGACTCCTGAGAATACAGACTGAGCGTCAGCCCAGGGAGCTGCCTTAGGGTCGCCTCTGTAGGCTTCATGGTGTGTCCGTCGAACAAAATACCTCCCACACAATAGCACTGGTGCACATTGGGCGGTTGATGTGATTTAGGGTGGAGATGCTGCAGGAGGTCTACTTCAAGCTGGACCAACTCAGAAGATCTCTAGTTTGGGATGCTGAATGAGACTGTAAGTCCTGACAGTTCACCTCTGCCCTGACGTCGTGTTATGAGATAGCATGAAGGACTAACTCACAGGAAACCTTTAAAAGATTTCCAGTTCTTGAGGCATTGTGGGACATGCCTGGAACCTGGCCTCATCCCATCCTTAAGTATTTATTTCCTCTCAGCGCTCCAAACCGTTACCACTTTCTCCCAGCATCCTTGGACCAGAAAAACACAAGCATCTGTGAAGAGGAAACTCACGAATGATTTCTTCATACAGAGGGTTCTCTAAAAACAAATACAAGTAGAATAGAAAAGAAGGGCTACATTTTTTGGATATTTATTTGGCCTGTGTCCTTTAAGTGCAATTTGGTTTCCTTTGGGCAATTACCATGAACTGTTTTGCATGACTGATAGAATCCTGCATCTGAAGACTGCTAAACGCACTGCAGAAAAGTTCACACATTTCAGTGGCTTTGAGCCCACTGGAATGGGGCGGAGGGCATAACTGGGTAAAAATGTTTGTTGTGTCAGTGGTAGCTATTGCATTGCCCGTACACAGGGGTCCTGTATATCTTAATATGATGATTTTCAAACTTTTCACATGGTAACCAACAGTAGAAAAATGCATTTTGCATTGGGACATAATATACACCCACACAACCCAAGATTCACGGAACAATACACTTAATCATCTGAATTGTACTCTGATGTTTTTATTCAATTCTATTCTATTCTTTTTCATTTAAAAAATGCGGCTCGGGACATACTACATTGCTTTCATCACCTGCTTGTGTGTTTCAACCCACAATTTGAAAAATACTCTTCTGGAGGAATAAACTGCAAATGAGGCAGTTATACTTTTATACTGAAGGAAGCCCCAGTATCCCTCACTGTTACGGAAGAGGCACCCTGAATTTAAAGTAAGCCAGAGAGGAGTATAAGGAGAAATTATACTCGATAACATTCTAAGGTTTATCCTGGTGTCCGCAGTTACATCCTCAGGGGTGTGAACATTCTACAGTTTCTAAAAGTCATAATTAATTTCCCCCACAGTCTTTGCAGTAATAATTTTTATAGATTAGGACTTTAATTTGGTGTTTCTGAAACTGAGATCCAAGGGCAGATTCTAGGTGGTTTATGAGAAATGTTTTTTCCCTTAAATTGGGTCTTGCTTGTAAGGTTGAGAAAAGCAGGTCTCACGTAAGATAGTACCATCGTGATGACCCACGCATGTTGTGAATCTGTGGTTATGCCTGGTTTGAACTTCAGTAATTTTGCCAACGTGCTTCCTTTTCAAAAAACTTCAAGTTGAGAGGGAACATTTGCTGTAATTACTATGCATGTTTATGCTAGATTCTGTTCGCATAAATGATTCATTTTATTTGTAAAGAGATAAAATGATACTTCAAAAGGACAAAACGTTACTTACAAAACAGTTAAATTACTGCAGGAAATAAAAGTCAAATTCCTTAAATTATGGATGTGGTTGCCTTCAAAGTCCCTGAAATATAAAAATAAAAAATGATAAAGCTAAATTTTAATCACACACAAAAGTCGGTTAAGAATGATTTGTTTTCTAGTAAAATATTCTTTTCCCACGTACTGCTGATTTCATAGGGATTCTCACATAATGTAAGTGTAGCCACTTACATAATAGCCGAAATGATATATTTATATATAATGTTTCTGTTTTTCTGTGTTAATAGTAAAAATGTTTTGAGTTGCGTAGGTATGAGGTGTTCGTATGGGTACATATGTATCGTAAGGAATGTGAAGAGAATGAAAAAAGGTACATGGACAGCTTTTGTTGTGGTAACTACCAGCTATATAAACAGAAAGCACGTAGTGATCCGCATTGAACACCCATCCAGAGGTACCACTGGCATTTCTCTGAGTGGCGTGACTCTATCTGCTACAGCCCACAGAAGATTCTACTATTGCTGCAGAAGATGCTACCGCAAAGCAGTGTTTAACCTCTACCTCCCTTGCCTAGACACTCCCAGAAAAAATTCTCCGTAGCCTTTTACCCCTGAGAACACGCTTTCTTACTTTATCATACGGCCACACAGGCCAGTGCAGAGGGAGACCCACAGCTGCCCTTGGCTCTCCACTCCCGACTCAGGGCGCTGCTTGCAGACCTGACTTGAGCTCCCTTGCTGTTTAATTGTCTCTGCTTCCTGGTTTTCATGAAAGCGTTCTTCTATTGCCTGTCTTTTATCTTGTCGTAGGGTTTATGGTGGAAGTTCATAGAACAGAGTTAGCCGAGCTCAGGGATACACTTTCAGAAGCAGATGCTGGCTCTTAGATCTACTCGTTTTACCCCAGCACTTAGCTTACCAGTCACCATACCACGTAAAGCCATTCAGGAACAATCGCCACTAAAATATATGAGCTGAAGTCTGACACAGCTGCTAAAATCTATGCGGGAAACACGAGTGACATTAATGGACGTGTCTATCTTTTCTGCGGGAGAGGCTGTATCTGGGACAGTCAGTTTTATTGTGGCACTGCAGTAAAAATGGCTGCTGACAAATCAGTCTGTCTGGAAGCTCTGGAAGGCCAGCATGTAAGCGTTCTAGAAATCAAGTCAATGGACTAAAAGGGTGTATTGACCACAGAGAAGAGCAAAGAAGAGAGAAATATTTGAAGTCAGGCTTAGGGCTTTTCTCTGTTGCATCAGACTGCAAAATCAGATTTACTCGTTGAAGGACACAAAACATGTCAAATTTAAGCTCACAGTCCATGGTGTCCAGAGAATAAGCTTCTTCTTACTATAGTGATCTAAGAAGGGCATATACCATAACAAGGTTTTTGTAGACAGGATCTCTGTACATATGGAATGTTGTGTTAAAATCTTAAATCTTGATTCTAGATCACCCTTCTAAAGAAAAACTTCTATTATTCTATTAAACTGGAAATAAAGCACTTGTACTATCTTCTTTTGATCATTAGCCTTGGCCAAGGCTTTGGCCTTCCATAAGGAAGGTTATTATTGACACAGACTGTTCTATTTCCTTTTCCTATTTTGTTGTTGTTACCAGGAATCTACCACCAGGGGGTGACCTTCTCCTAAGCCTCACAACATTTCTTGATGTTAGTTTCTTGTTAGTAACACCTGTAACTTTTTTTTTTCTATTAAGGTAGCAAAACTATTTATGTTAATATTAATTTACTATTTGTAAAAGTCAGTAAGAGGCATAAACTAGGGACTTTTGATTAAATTGTTAAATTCAATGTTGAGTTTATTTTAATCTTTATTTGTGAATTTGCCGTGGCTTTCTTCCTAAAATTAGAGGTTTTAGTTCTTGATGTGCAGGGGTATGGCATACAAATCTGCTCCTCGTGCCAGGGCTCCAAGTTCTAATGGACCTGAGGGGGTGTTTTGCTTACTTAATGCCTGGATCACTTTTCCAACTTAATGATCCTCTGAATATAACCACTTTATGTTTCCCTCTATACATGGCAGAACTGGCTGAAAATGAAAATTTCGTTCTTGGATCTGAAGAACAATAACAGAAAACAAAAACACCAAGAATCTTGCCCTCTCAATTCCCTCTCTCATCCCCTAGGGGCTTTTTGTAAACACGCAAATCTCCTCTCCCTCTACTTCCTCCCGTACTTTTCTGGCTCCTATCTCACAGAGAAAATTGAGGTGATGAAGGAGGGGAAAGCCTTCGCCTTTCTGCCCGACATCCGTGATTTACCTGTATGTGCACCTGGTCTCCTACACCCAGGATGCGATGACCCTCCTTCTGCTTTAGGCTAATCCCGCGTTTTCTGAGTTTTGTTTGTGAACGTGTATGTCCTAAAATACATGGTCAATTCTGGTGAATGTGTTTTGGGCGTTCTTCACTTTCAGTTTATATCTATTAAGATTAAGCACAGGTACATAGAACAGAGACCCAACTATAACAGCATAACTACACAAGGATTTAAAAAAAAATCTAGGGTTGGGTAGTCCAAGGCTAGTCTGGTAATTTTACTAAGTTGTTAGAAACCTAAGGTCTTTCATATCCACTGTCCACAGGTCCTTGTCTTTGTGTTCCAAGATGTTGCTAAAGCTTGAGCCATCATATCCATCTTTTCTGGATAAGGAAAGAAAGGGAGGTTCTTCCTGTTTCTCTTTAAGGAGGTTGCCCAGAAGTTCCACACTATACATCTTCCTCCTTATTAATTAGGGCTCGGCCACGTGGCTCTGTCTAGACGTGGGGAAGTCTGGGAATGTAGTATTTTAGCTGGGTACTTTGACGCCCCAAATAAATCTGTTCTGTTATCGAGAAGGGACTTTGCACTTTGATATGTACCAGTTAGAGTTAACTCGTTAACTATGTTATTTAGTTCTCCATATCCTTTTTTTGGTTTTCCTTGATCTTTCATGGACTGAAAGAGGTGGATTATTATTTCTTATCGCTTATGTATGTCTATTTTTCTTTTGTTTTGGTTGTTATATGAATCTATTTGGTGCATATATATACTCCTAATATAATATCTTGTATTGGAAATTGCACACTATAGCATTTAAATGTCCTTCTTTGTACTGCTTAATGCAAATTGGCCAAACTTCTACCTACTTAGATAAAAAATGATGCCTACTTTCTTTGGTTTGCATTTACATGGCATACGTTTGAGCAGTCTTTTATTTTTAATCTTTCTTAATCACTTAGTTACAGCTGGCCTTTTTTGTACATAGTACTGAGTTAGATTTTGCTCTGTGATCCAACTTGAAAATCTGTTTCTCTTTTTAGTAGGTAATTTTAGCCCACTTATGTTTATTGATCTGACTAATGTATCTTACCTTAGTCTGCTATTTAAAAATATTATTATATGGTTTTATAGATTAAAAAATCTTTCAACAAATGGCTTAAAAATTTTATTTATTCTAACATTGAAAAAGGCTTGTATATTCTATTGGTAACCTTTATAACTACAACTTTACCCAATACATCGTATCTTCTCTTTCTTAGAGAATAACAATAACACTTATCAATTTCCTATTATAAGAAATGATGGAATGAGTATGTATTGTCTTCCTGCCTTTTCTTTCCTCTCTCTCTCTCACCATAGGATTTTGATCAATTATATGCTATTTATTAATATTCACCTTAGGAATATCAAATAGCCACATATTGGTAGATTTCTTAGTTTTAAATGACATCTCTTGACGCCAGGCTATTTTTCTTTATAGTGTTATGGTTTCACTTTATTCCTTTGAAACTGCTTACTCAATTAAGATTACTGTGGCTCTTGCCATATTGAGCCCTGTATCATTCTGTGATATTTCTCTTTATCCCTGGTGATAGTCTTTGTTCAGAAGGCTATTTTTTTCCAGTGTTAACACAGCCCCTCCATCTTTTAAAAAGAATTAGTGCTGCATTTCTTATCTTCGTTTTACAGCTTGAATATCTCTGTTTTCTCTGGTTGTCTCAAGCTTTTTTCTTTGCTTTTCTTTATCTTTGGTTTTCAGCAGTTTGACTATGATTTGTCCAGTTTGTTTTTTTTTCTTTTCTACTTCTGCTTGTTTTCTTTTCTGAGTTTCTTAGATTTTTTTTTTTGGTTTTTTGTATTACATCATTTTAGAAAATTCTTGGTCATTATCTCTTCAGATATTTCTTTGAAAAATGAGCAGGACCCTATGTCCCCCACCTCTTGTTTGTAGAAAAGCTTTAGCCTCTTAGGCCTTCCCTGAGTTCCAAAGAGCAGATTTAATCAGAGAAGTGAGAAAATGGTGAAACAAAGGAAAATAGTCAAGCAAGACAAAATACTAATAGTTTAGCCATAAAACAAATTCAAGGTCCTTTAGTTCCTCCTCAAGGGCAATAGATAATACCCTGAGCCATATCCTTGAGTTGTTTTGCAGACACTAAAACCCTCACCAGGTGGAGGAAGTTAACGGCATGCTGATCACCAGCACGTAGACCCCAGGCTGGTTGGAACCAGAAGGTTGATGATTGAGATTCCCGTAACATCACCCTGTTACCTCACCACCAACCAATCAGAGAGTTGTGCACAAGCTGATCACACACCCTGCAGTCCCCTCCCTCACCCTGCCTTTAAAAACCCTTCCCTGAAAACCATCAGGGAATTTGGGTCTTTTGAGCATGAGCTGCCCATTCTCCTTGCTCGGCACCTGCAATAAATGCTGTACTTTTCTTCACCACAATCTGGTGCCAGTAGATTGGCTTTGCTGTGCGTCTGGTGAGCAGACTCAAGATTTTTGGTAACATCTTCTGTCCTGTTGTCCTTCTCTTCTTTTGCTGTGACCACTTTAACGCATTTTGAGACACTTTTATATTATCCTGTAACTTTTGGATTCTCTGTTCTATCTTTGTTTTATGCTCTGTTCTCATTTTGATTCAAATGAAAGCTTTCTATTGACCTGTCTTCAAGGTCATTGATTCTTTTGTTAGCTGTGTTCAGCCTGTTGAAGTAATTCTCTGATTCTCTTTAAAGCTTCCATCTCTTTGCAGACATTTTCCATGTGTGCATGTTTTGCCCACCTTTCCCATTTGTATTTCCCAAATACTTATGATTAATCATTTAACTGATTAATCATAAGTATTTTAATTCCCTTGTTTCGTAGTTGTAACATCTGAGTTATCTCTGGGCCTAGTTCTGTTGATTGCTTTATAATTTGACAAGAATTGTTTCTCTTGCTCTTTCTGGGATGGGGCTTTCTCAGCATGGTTGTCCCACATGCCCCAGAAGCCCCAACCCACTTGGCAACAGTGCAGGATCCTGGGCTGGAGAGGTTTATTTGCCCCTGTTGCTGGAGTAGAGAGCTTTGGCTGCTAGCACTCCTTTGGAAGCAGTGGATCTATGCACAGTCCCTGGCTGCAGGAAGATTTTCTGTCCCTCTCCCCATGGTGTAAAGCTTTTCCTTCCTAAGAGGGAAGAGTCTAGGGGAGAAGGTGGGGTTTGTGCCTGCATGCCACCAAAGAAGACTCTGTCTGGTTTCCTTAATTACTCCCAGCTTTTTCCATGAGCTGGTGGAGGCCAGAGAAAAAGAGCCGGTTAGGAATAGCTGACTCCCTTGAGTGTGGGGTTCCCAGTATTCCAAAGGGTTACACTAGCCCACACTTAACCTTTACAGGTTTATTAAAATTTTAGCAGTTTTCTTTGTACCTGCTCTATGAGGGTCAACGCTTCATCTTGTGCTCTGCCAAAGGTGAAATACTGTATATGTCCCGTCTCTCTTGGTCACTCCTTAGAATTGTTTCCCTGCTTGCCTTATGACTGACAGGCTGGAGAAAATTAAGACTGTGTAGATTGTAAAGTTCTTCCTCATTGGTAGAGTGGGAGCAATATTGTCTTGAGGCTGTCTACAGCTTCAGCACAGCATTGTTGGAATGGAATTGTCATATATAATATGTATCCTTCCGTGACTTTTTCTTTATACTTCATATTATGATCTTGAAATTGTGCCGTGTCGATTGAAGCAGGGCAGGTGCCTTCATCTTTATTGCACCTGTGTGTGTATTCCATCTTATTTGTCCATCCTTTCCACGGCTTCCAGGACCTTGCTCCATAATGTATCCTCACTGTTTTCCACGTTTACAAATCCTTTACATTAGCTTCTTCTGCCTATATATAAACTTGCTTTGTCTCATCCCCGGATAAAAGTTTACTTTACCCTCTTGCTCTTTAGCTCATCTTTGGCTATTGCCCCATCTGTTCATATGCTTATTTATTAGTTATATTCCTTCCTTTTTGAATATCACATCTTTTAGTGTGGTGTTTATAGTTTTTTTATTGCTTTGAAAGAACTATATTAAAAGTTTTAATCTGTTGTCTGTTGTATATCTTGCAAATATATTCTCCTGGGCTGTCATATCTCTTTTTGTTTTATTTCTATTTTTCTACTTAACCATAGTTAAACAAATGTTTGCCGACACATCCAACAGATTTTCTAGTTTGTACTTTGCTAAATGACAGTTCATGCACAAGGTAAAGATATTGTAATTAATTTTAAAAAATGAATACTTACAAAGCAAAAATTATTACTAGCATTAAAATTGGGACAACATTCACTCTCAGGGATGCATGTGGAGTGAGTTGTTTTGGATAGCTAAAACTTAAAGATTATAATTTTAGTAACAAAAATTTAAAAAGTCCACGTCTTTAGTTATAAATCCTAATCATTTTTTATTTTTATCTGAAATATACATTTGGCTACCTTTTTAAAAACAAAGGAAAGATTTCTTATTGTATGGGCATAAAATCTCCCACATTTACTTCTGGTCTCAATGCATGAATTTTTAATTTACTCATATAAATATTAATCAGTTTTACTTCATTACTAAGTTTGGATCACTGAGCATGTAATTACCATTAGTGAATTCTTTTGAGCCCAAATTTAATCACCACAAAGAATATCGCACTTAATTTGCCCTTTCCTTGATGACTTAGTTCGTCATTACTGAGGGTACTATACTGTCATATCAAGATGCCCTCTGGACTTACTAATGATTTGGGGGATGTTTCTCTTCCCCTAGACGGTTCCAAACTAGTGTGTTTTGACCAAACTTTTGGGAATTCCCTACAAATAAAAGACAGAGGGGATTTTCATATATAGAGTATATGCAGGTTATTGACTGAACATTTAAAGAAATATTTTGGATTTATTTCTTCATTTTTGCCTGTATTTTAAATAGACACATTTACTGGGTAAATGAGTTCTGCATAGGTAGAGTGATGCTAATTACCACAAACAAAACTACTGTGTGAAAAACTCTGTGGAACATATTCTGTTGTGATGAGACTTCAAAAATAAAGCCTAAGTATCATAGTCTTATTACACAGAATTTAGCAATGAAACTAAAGTGGCTTAGTCTTTCTGTACCAAATGAACAGGTGAACAGATTGACAGGGGGGAAGGGGTGATGTTACATAGATATCATAACATCCCTTCTGTCTTCCTTCTTCCTGCCTCCAAAGTATGTCTTGTGTTTTGGAGATGTTTTATTTTGATAAGAGTTTAGAGGAGTTAGTTTAGATAATAGGGATGTTTAATAAGAAAATCATGCTAAAAATATTAACAACTACCATTTGAAAAAACCTGACATCTGAAATGAACTAGGCAAAACCAGACAAGTTAGTTGTCTTCTGTAAGAAGAGATAGAGAGAACCCTCCTACACTTTTGGTGGGAATGTAAATTGGTGCAGTCACTATGGAGAAGAGTAGGGAGGTTCCTTAAAAAACTAAAAATAGAGCTACCATATGATCCAGCAATCCCACTCCTGGGCATGTATCTGGAGAAAACTCTAATTTGAAAATATACATGCACCCCTTATGTTCATAGCAGCACTATTTACAGTAGTCAAGACATGGAAGCAACCTAAATATCCATCAACAGAGGAATGGATAAAGAAGATGTGGTACCTCTATACAATGGAATATTACTCAGCCATAAAAAGAATGAAATAACGCCAGTTGCAGCAACATGGATGAAGCTGGAGATTATCACACTAAATGAAGTAAGTCAGAAAGCAACAAATACCATATGATATCACTTATATGTGGAATCTACAAAAATGATACCAATGAACTTATTTACAGAACAGAAAGAGACTCACAGACATAGAAAACAAACTATGGTTACCAAAGGGGAAAGGGGGGGGAGGGATAAATTAAGAGTTTGGGATTGACATATACACACTACTGTATATGAAATAGATAACTAATAAGGACTTACTGTATAGCACAGAGAACTCTACTCAATACTCTGTCATGACCTATATGGGAAAAGAATCTAAAAAAGAGTGGATGTATGTATATGTATAAGTGAATCACTTTGTTGTACACCTGAAAGTAACACAACAGTGTAAGTCAACTACTATACTTCAATAAACATTTTTAAAAAGAGGAGATACAGCAACTTACAGCCAGTGCAGCCTGGGCATGTGCTGACAAAGAGGCTTGTCAGGCAGGCGGGTAAGGATGTTATTCATCAGTGCTCTGAAAAAGAGAAACAAAAAGGAGCCTGATTTCTCTGTTTCTTTTCTCAACTGAAGTCAAAACGTGGTTTTACCATTATTCTTATGAAGTCATGAACATCTACTAAGTTTGTTGTCTTCTCACTCAAATGATTTTCTGTAAGTCTTGATATATTTAAGTGCTTGTCAGTAATAAAATTAGACAAACGGTAGCCATCATATGGAGGAAGCAGTAACATTAGCAACTGAAGAAAAGTCCTGTGCCCTTCAGTAGTGGGTACTGAAAAGGAGGTGATTTTAAACAAACGTATTTTTCTTTACCAAGATTAATAGAGGATAGTACCAGTGTGCTTAAGAATATTTCAATAAAGCATGGCAGTGGGGCTGTGTTCAGTTTTGATGGGCTGACATTCTAGAAGATGAAAGATCTTATAAAACTGTTACAACTACAAAACAGCCTCATAGGATATGACTAGGAGATGGTTTTTAGTTGAAAATTCCATTTTAGGGTTTTAATTCTAAATGTCATGTTGTTAAACCCAATTTTTATTCATGCCTTTTCCTTCAGTTGAAATATTTGCATAAATTTTTAGTACTTACAGGAGAATAAGAGAATTTAGTCCATAAAATGTTAGTGGGGAAATTCGACTGAGATGATTCTCTTCAATTATCCTGCCAGCCAGAAGAAAAAAATGGGTTCATTTACATATTTTTCGAACATAAAGGCTAGTACTATAAAATGCCACATAAATTAAACATACAGCCACTCTAGTCTGTGGAGATCTTCAAAAACACCCGGCTTCAAGAAGGTTATTCTGTTATGACTGAGATACCTGAAAAAAGAGAAATAACTACAGTAAATTTGATACCTTCTTGATATCTTATAACAAGGAAAGGAAGAACAATAATTGTCCATCTTAAATTTTCTTATATGTTGTTCTCATCAGGCCATTTCCCTGCCCTCGGAGCCCTGAAAGTTCTCTATCACTTACCTTTTCACGTCTAGTTTTTCATTTCCCAATAATCAACCCACCATCAGCCAATCCCTCACTCCCTCTGTCTATTCATTTATTCATCAAGTTGTTTTGAGCCCCTACGCTGCGGCATTGTGCTAGGTGTGGAATCGCTTTCTCCGAGGGGCTTTGCATCTAGTAGAAGACAGCATGTGAGCAGGTAGTTATTGCAGCAGCAGAGGGAAAAGAACAAGAACATACAGTTCCTCTGACTTTTCAGCGGAGGAGGTGTCGGCCTCTGCTGGGACTGGGGAAGCAGAGCTTGGAGGGGAGAGGGGACAGGGAGTGTTAAAGAAAGAGGTCTCTATTCCTGCCCTGCAAATAGGTTCATCTGTGCCATTTTTCTAGATGCCACATATATGTGTTAATATACGATATTTGTTTTTCTCTTTCTGCCTTACTTCACTCTGTATGACAGTCTCTAGGTCCATCCACCTCACTACAGACAACTCAGTTTTGTTCCTTTTTTATGGCTGAGTAATATTCCATTGTATATATGTGCCACATCTTATCTTATTTGCAAAGCATAAATAGAGACATGGATGTAGAGAATAAACGTATGGACACCAAGGGGGAAAGGAGGGCGTGGGATGAACTGGGAGATTGGGATTGACACATATACATTATACTGTGTATAAAATAGGTAACTAATGAGAACCTACTGTAGAGCACAGGGAACTCTACTCAGTGCTCTGTGGTGACCTAAATGGGAAGGAAATCCAAAAGAGAGGGGCTATGTGTATATGTACAGCTGATTCACTTTGCTGTACAGCAGAAACTAAGACAACATTGTAAAGCAACTATACTCCAATGAAAATTAATTACAAAAAAAGAAAAGAAAAAGAAAGGCTCTTCTCAACTGAGCCTTGGGTGAGGTGTGTCATTCACAAAGCAAAGCATGGGTGGGAGTGATTCCAGGCAGAGGAAATGGCTTATGCAAAGGTGAGAGGTGTGACGGTGACAAGGTGAGGGGTCATGGTAAAGAGGCTGTGAGGGGATGCAGGAGATGCCCCTGGAGGCAGGTATGGACCTGCTCTGGGTGCCTTGCTGGAGAGTCAGACCCATTGTACTTTGACCCGACTTTACTTCTCACTCTTATGCAGAGTGAACCAACTCTTCCTTCTGTTGTGCTGATCTCTTACGTGTTTATTTCTTTGTTTTCTTCCAAAAGCAAACACCAGCTTTTAACAACTTTCAAAATCACCTCTCTTCTTTTATAGAGGCCTTATTTATTTTTTAAAAAAATTTATTTATTTTATATTTTTGGCTGCGTTGGGTCTTCGTTGCTGCGCGCAGGCTTTCTCTAGTTGCAGTGAGCGGGGGCTACTCTTCGTTGCAGTGCGCGGGCTTCTCATTGCGGTGGCTTCTCTTGTTGAGGAGCATGGGCTTTAGGCATGCGGGCTTCAGTAGTTGTGGCTGGTGGGCTCAGTAGTTGTGGCACGTGGGCTCAGTAGTTGTGGCACACGTGCTTAGTTGCTCTGCAGCAAGTGGAATCTTCCTGGAGCAGGGCTCGAACCCGTGTCTCCTGAATTGGCTGGCAGATTCTTAACTACTGCACCACCAGGAAAGCCCCGGCCTTAGAGTCTTTATGTGGCCTTTTCTCTTTTTTTTTCTGAAGAAAACTTTTGGACACACACACAACCACACACAGCCCAACAGCAGCTGGTAAAGCAAGGGAAATATTTGGAAAACTCTAATTCCACTTCACTTTGTCCTTTGGTTTGGTAAAGTGGAGGTGAGACTCTCAAAATACCTAAGGTTGCCAATGGTAGCAAAAGCACTGGACTCAAATGTGTGCAATATTCCTTTCCTTCCATTTTGTCTTAAAATGGCAGAGAAATTGTCTTGCGTGTTTATTTTTGTCTCAGTTTCTCTAATGCAGCAACTCACTGCTCTGAATCTGCTGTCAGACAGTTTGGTTCCTGGCTTCACTACTTGTTAATAGTGTGACCTGAAACAAACAGCAACTTCAGAAATCCTCAGTTTCCCCAACTCTAAAACGGACATAACACCAATACCTAATTCACTGGGCTGTTGAACATTTGAGCCAGGCATGTCAGGAACACTAGGTGCATGTTAGTAGAATGAGGTCTCTGTTCAACCTCCCATTTCAACTTCTTTCCTGTTCTTTTTCCTCATTGCCTATGATTCTCATGCAAGCATTTGTTCAAATTCCTCTTCCCCTGATACACGGACCACACTGATTTCTCTTTTTGCTACTCTGACAGCTCTTAGAGCTGACATCCTGTAAAATCTGTCCTTCCAGGAATCTCCCCTTCTCCATCAGATTTGACTTTTCTTGGGGGTAGCAAAGGATAAGGCCCCATATTAGAGCCACTTCCTTCCCTTGCAAGCCTGGAGCCCCAGTTGGGCACAGGAAGATGTTAAGAATCTCTTCAACAGTTGCCCTGAACACTCACGGGTTCCCTTAAGAGCCACTAGAAATCCTCTAGAAAGGGACTTGATCCACCCCCCATGCCCTGTGCTGTCTGATTTGCCCCGTCCTATTCATTTTTCAGAGTCATCCTTCACTGCTCTGGACCCAAAATAATCACTCCTTTTAGGGAATCATCTTAGCAGTTGTGGTCTGAACCACATAGGTTTAAGTCTTAGTTAAGTAAACACCCTTGCCATTCTCTAGTTGTTGTGTATATGTTGGCATTGTTTCCCCACCGTAGACTGGAAGCTTCCAGAGAGCGTGTGGGTGCCTCTCCCCGGTGGAAGCACAGGGTTCTACCTGCAATACTGCAATAAGGAGCTAGAAGGTAGCAGGTCTGACTTCTCTTTCTATGCCCCCCACGGTGTCTCGCTGAAGACCTTGCACACTGTGAGGGATAATGAGTGTCTACGGATGAATGAAGAGCAGTATCTGATGTTTACCCATGAAAGACCAGAACCGTGTGACACTTTAACAGCCAGACAATATTCTCGCGCCAGGAAAAAACCAAGGTGCAGATGGAAGACACTTAAGTTTACTCTCCAGTCTGTGCCATCTTTCAAGAGTCTCCTGCACACCCATTGAACATTAAACCAAGCAGACGCTGTTCAGCAAGTTTTGAATAGATTTGTGAGAGGCTGTAGAGAAAGGTAGGCAGAAGCATGATGAGGACGACTCCAGTATTGACTTTGAGTAATTTGCTAACACACGAAAGAGCAGGAAAGGGGTAGACACAGCCACAGGGGTTACTGTTGAGACTTTGGGTCTCCGGTGACCTTCTCTGCTAGTAAATGATTAGGTGGCCTTCTTTTTTTTTTTTTTTTTTCTTTTGTGGTACGCGGGTCTGTCACTGCTGTGGCCTCTCCCGTTGCTGAGCACAGGCTCCGGACGCGCAGGCTTAGCGGCCATGGCTCACGGGCCCAGCCACTCCGCGGCATGTGGGATCTTCCCGGACCGGGGCACGAACCCGCGTCCCCTGCATCGGCAGGCGGACTCTCAACCACTGCGCCACCGGGGAAGCCCTAGGTGGCCTTCTTGACTCAACCCCAAACTCTGGTACAGCCAGTGAGGAATCTGACCGGAAAGAGTTTCTTGGGTTAAGGAGTAAAAAGTGGGGTAGGATAGAAGGCAAGGGGCCAGAAATAAAATACAGGGAGTTGTTTATTAATGTGATTTTTTGGTTATATTTCCATTCAGTAACTTCTAGGTGGTAAGTTTCAGCTGCCTGGTAAAATGCAGCTGAAATGGAATGGAACTTTGAGAAAGACTGTTTTAAAAAGCTTAGCTCTTAACCACAATGAGATGCTACTTCACACCCATAAGGATGGCTGTTATTAAAAACAACACAACACAAAACAACAACAAAATCCCAGAAGGTAAAATGGTGCAGATGCTGTGGAAAACAGTATGGTGGGTCCTCAGAAAATCAAACATAGACCTGCCGTATGACCCAGCAATTCCACTTCTGGGCGTACACCCCAAAGAATGGAATGCAAAGACTCAAATATTTGTACACCAACGTTCATAGCAGCATTATTCACAATAGCCGAAAGGTGGAAACGACCTAAATGTCCATCCATCAGGAATGAATATAGAAAATGTGGTATTTTATATATATATATACACACAGTGGACTATTATTCAGTCTTAAACAGGGAGGAAATTCTAATATATGTTACAACATGCCTGAGACTTGAAGGCATTATGCTAAGTTTAAGACGTGATGAAAAAGGCCTGACACTAAAGGGAAAATATTACCTGATTCCACTTCTGTGAGGTCCCCTAGAGTAGTCAGATTCATAGAGACAGAAAGTACCACGGTGGGTGCCAGGGCCTGGGAGGGGCCGTGGGGAGTTAGTGTTTAGTGGGCGTGGAGTCTTAGTTGGGAAGGTGAACAGTTCTGGAGATGGATAGCTGTACAACAGTGTGAATGTACTGAACGCCACTGAACGAGACCCTTAAAAAGGATTAAAATGGCAAATTTGTTATATACGTTTTACCATAATTTAAAAAAAAGCTTTGTTCTTTTAAACGTATCGTGCTTTATGTATTTGTAAAAGCAGAATTAGTGGGAAAAGAGTAACTGGAGAAGTCTTTGGGTTTTTTCCTTCATAAATTTTAATCATCACCAGACTTTCTCATGTTGATAAAGTTCATTCAATCCTCATTCCCGTCACCACGGCTTATGTATATTGAGTTCCTACTACGTGCCCGGCACAGTGTGCCCAACTCTTCCCACGGATTTTCTCATTCGCTCCTTACAACAATCCTGAGGTAGGTACTGTTGTAGTTTGCATTTTACGGTAGAGGGAGCCGATGCTTAGAAAGGAAATTAAGTTCTCAAGTTCACACACCCAGCGAGTGGTGAGGTAGGACTGGGACGGCAGCCTGTGTGACTCAGGGTCCCATGCCCTGTGCTCACCGTCCACTGTCTGCATGTCCCGTGGGCACTGTCGTGGGCGGGAGGGCCGTGGTGGGTGGGATGGGTCGGGCTGGCAGGCCACCACGGAAGGGCAGACTAATGGGTGCTGGTACTCACAGTTTAGTAAGACTGTGGAGTCCTCGGAAAGCGTAGACGGATACGGATCTAATCTTATTGTTTTGCAGGCACCTGTGAAAATGATGATTAAAAGGAAAACGTAAGGAAATGTAGTTTCAGCTTTGCAAGATGAAAAGAGTTCTGCGGATGGCTGACGGTGACGGCCCTGCAAAGATGCGGGCGGATGTAAGGCCTCTGAACGTACACTAAAGGGTCAAGCCAGTACATTTTATGTTGTGTGTATTTTACCACAATATCTTGTGATAACCTATAATGGAAGAGAATGTCGAAAAAGAATACACATACTTATAGGTATATGTATAACTGAATCACTGTGCTGTACACCTGAAACGAACACAACATTGTAAATCAACTATATGTCAATAAAAGTTAAAAAAAAAAGAAAGAGGAAATGTCAAAAAATTCTTAAAAATTAAAAAAGGTAAACATAACAAAATAATTTAGCAGAGCTGGGTATCATGTCATTTTGTTTCTTGATTAAGTTCACATACGATTAGGCTAGTTTTTATTTGGAACTTCTAGTTATAAAGGTAGGCACACGAGAGCTAAATTTTTTTTTTTTTTTGCGGTACGCGGGCCTCTCACTGTCGTGGCCTCTCCCGTTGCGGAGCACAGACTCCGGACGCGCAGGTTCAGCGGCCATGGCTCACGGGCCCAGCCGCTCCGCGGCATGTGGGATCTTCCCGGACTGGGGCACGAACCCGCGTCCCCTGCATCGGCAGGCGGACTCTCAACCACTGTGCCACCAGGGAAGCCCGAGAGCTAAAATTTAATGTTTGAATTTTTAATGAGTGAAACTTCAGTTTTAGTGTATGGTAATGCACTCACTAATCAAACAAGCCTAGAAGCCTTTTTAACTTTTTAACATTTTCTGCTATAATTCTACAAACTTGACAGTATTCAACACAGTGTTGGCAAAACTACAAGGCTGTGACATCGTTAAGACCCCAAACCATATTTCATGTAAACCACAAACTGGCCAAGCAAGTCAACTTCAATTGTATTAATTTGACACCTAAGTTTCGCTCCAAAAACTGTTTGAGGAAACTTACCAAGAGTATATATGACAAAAGAGAAAAACAGAAATAGAAAGAATCAGGTGGACCGAGAAGATCGACAACATTCCAGAACATAGAGGGTGGGACCAGTTTCAGGGGAAGCATATATTAGTATCTTATTTTTAGCCTGGAAGAGTCCCCAAACTTCTGAAACCAGAACTATAATTTTTGCTAAAAGAAAATTTCCAGGAACAAGAAGTAAAAACAGTAACACTTGGTTTTCATGTTAAAAAACAAACAGCAAAAAAGGATCAGGTCTAGGAGAAGATAAATTAGCTTGGAAGGCCAAGGAAGTATGCTGGCTGCGGAGTTCACTGAGGTCATGCTGAAGGTTGGGTCTGGAGTTAACAGGAGGTCAAAGGAGACAGAACCTGGAGCACAAGCCGTTGCAGCCCACACACCCATTTAAGCTCTGCACATCTACGTACACTGGCCCCAGGTTGTGAACAAGGGCAAAAGTAAGGGCTTCAACTCTTATTTCTTCTACTGATGCAGGTCACCATTGTTCTTCAGGGTTTGCTGAGTTTATGTATAATTTTCACAGATTTTAGGAGTGATAAGGGATAAACCAGTATGGGCCAACTCTCAGTTAATTAGAAATTTTGACTAAAGGAGAGTCCCTATTTCTCCAGCATGCAAGAAACCTAACTTTGATTGTAAAATGTTAAGTTTGTTATACACCGAACACTCTCACAGAACATGCTGTGGTCCAATCATTTACTAGGCGATGCATCTTTCTCACTAATAAACAGAAAAACTTTGACAAGTATTTATTCATTTATTTCTAAGTACTGTAATTTTCTGTTAAGCAATAGATTATATTGCCTGGAGGTGGAGCCAATCACCAATTAGAACTTTTTTGGTAATTAGGCTATTTTGATCTATTACTTGGAACAAACTGGTCGTTCAAGAATTAATTCAATGTTCACTGTGTAAAATTGCTAAACTATTGAATCCTGATGCTTAGAGTCGAAGCCCCGACTCCTTTTAAACCATGTGGACATAAGGTGGTGCTAGAGATCAGAAAAATTCTTCCTACTCCAGAAATCAGAAAATAAAGTAAGGAAATATCCTCTTGAAGTTTGTGTATCAGGTTTAATTTTGAAAAGCTCTTCTCACTTGATTGATAAATGTCTAGAATACAGTCCTGAAAAGTTATTTTTATTAGAATTTAATTTTCTGATGTGAAATATTTTTCTGCAGGTAATCCGAGCTTTGAGAACATTTCATCAAACAAAGTGGATACATTTTTCTTCTGATTCTGCTCTATCTTTATTATCTTAAAGAGAAAGTACAGATAGATGATATCTATATACCAGGGGTCTCTAGTGTAAAAACAAATCCCAAACCAGTGTAGGTGTGAGAATGAAACTGGGAATTCTGAGACGTCTTCTAGATAGTGTCATTCAGGCACAGAATATTTAAACCCAACAGTTTAAGCCTATGACAATACGATTTAGTCACAAAGTTGACCTAAATAACAGCTAACCATCCCCTGGGCCATTATGGATTCTGTGAGTACATAGGTAATCTTAGACTGAAGAGAAGCTAGCATTTCAGATAAAACTCAACCAATGAGGCAGATGTGAAAATGGAATTAAGTCCCTAAAACACATGCTTGGAGGTTTCAAACCCCAAGGACTTTCTCTCTTAGGTAGAGATTGAATTTGCAAACATATGGAAGAAAATTCTTCTCTATCTAATCTTTTTTTATTTTTTAATGTTTATTTATTTATTTGACTGTGCCAGGTCTTAGTTGCAGCACAGGGGATCTTCGTTGCCACGTGCAGGATCTGTAGTTGTAGCATGTGGGATCTAGTTCCCTGACCAGGGGTCAAACCTGGGCCCCCTGCATTGGGAGCATGGAGCCTTACCCACTGGACCACCAGGGAAGTCCCTTCTCTATCTAATCTTGAGGGCAGCTCTGGTAAGGGGTCATTACATCGTTCTGTAAGATGGGCATTGAAATGCAGAGAGTAAAACCTCTTGAGTATATTCACTTGGGGGCAGTGTGGTCGGAGGGTTCATAGCACACGTACTCTGGTTTCTTTGGGGATAGGTATCTGAGATTTTTCTAGGATAGCTTCTAGAATTACTCAGGAAAAAAAGTGTTACCTGGTAGTCTCCAGCTAATGGCTAAATAATTCCCCAAAGAGGGGCTAGACTTAAGCAGTGGTGCAGTGTTTGTCTCTGCAGAAGTGGGAAGAAACAGATAGGCCAAAAAATGTTAGTCAATTCAACACTAAGAATTAAAATTTTCCTTACAGCTTCTGAAGATCATGGTACTTCTTAAAGCCATCAGGAGGAAGTTTTCTTATTAAGTTCCACTTGAGTGACCTGAAATAAATGTAAATTTTGGTTCTTACTTAAAGGTTTTTTCTTTACTTTTAACAACATTATGAATAATTATAAACTTTATTTACTTTAACACTAGCTTTCAGGAAACATTTTGCTTCATGATGTCACTCTTGTATTCATAATATCATTTAAAAAATTTTAGAGAGATTTTATTTGAGAGGTATTTTTATTTTTATTTTATTTTTTTGCGGTACGCAGGCCTCTCACTGTTGCGGTCTCTCCCGTTGCGGAGCACAGGCTCCGGACGCGCAGGCTCAGCGGCCATGGCTCACGGGCCCAGCCGCTCCGCGGCACGTGGGATCCTCCCGGACCGGGGCACGAACCCGTGTCCCCTGCATCGGCAGGCGGACTCCCAACCACTGCGCCACCAGGGAAGCCCAGCACACACACTTGATTGCATCTTTTGTTTAGATAAAATGTGGCGATACTAAATACTTCACAAGATTGTTATGAGGGGCTAACTAAATAAGTGAACATATAGAATAGTTTAGAGTCAGATCTATCATGTAATAAATGCAAATAATATCAGCAATCATTATAACTGACCAAGGAACAATGATATCATCTTGTGACAACGCATTATTAATAATGACAAGTACACCTGAGTTATGGTACAGTTTCACAGGGGCTGTTCTGGCTGTGAGGATGAGCCGTTCTTTTCTACTTACATTAAAGTCACATTTGAAGAAACTGATGGAACGGCTCGTAAATTGGTCTCGTCACAATCAAGCTCTAAACCTCGGCAAAGACATTGCACGGGCACAGAACCGACCACTGAATAAAGAGGAAGCGGTAAGGAATGGGGATGATGAGGGACCAGGAACAGGAGGGTAATGAAAAGAAAGAAACAAAAAGCTATAAGAAAATCATATACAAAAATGTGTCATGTCTTACGTACGCAATTTGTGCAAAGCTTTAAATTAAGGTTCCAAAGTTTTGCTTTTAACATTAAAATGATGCTAGAACTTGAAGAAAAGGAAACATACACATTTACCAGCCCATGCATTTAAAGAAAAAAAAAAAGCAGCCTGCCCCTCTCCATTTGTTGCAAAATGAATGAAGTCATCTGCTCTTTCTTATCCTTGGAGAGTAGCTACGTCCCAGGGTGACAGGACAGGGTGTGATGGGCGTTAATGTCCATATTAAAGCTGCTGTTTAAGAATAAAGTATTAATAGTTTTAATGGAAGACGAAGCCCTTTTTGACTAACAAGAAAGAGAACTCAACTCTGAACTATAGTGCTGGGAGATTTTTTTTTTTTTTAATTCAGGAGTTCTTCAAAAGACTTCTTTTGGCCTATGTAGGGATGTAAGGATGCTTACAGCTTCACTTGAGGAAGTGAATATTTCTTATGCATAGCCATTCTATTCTCACTGATGAGAGTTGGAAAGAGAGAGGAAATGGAATGTATGCCTTTGATTACCTTGTGGGGCTATAGCGGTAGTCTTAAAGATGTGACCTGATATTTCTAAAGTCTGTTAGAGACTTGCAGTGGGGTGTTCATATAGCTAAGCAATGAAATGGGATTATTATTCGGAGTAATAGACATCATCTGACTGCTGACTTGATGGGGAATGGACGATTCCTGGGAGCAATGAGGTGTGTTCTTTTCTACGTTCACTTTGAAACTCTGCACTTAGAGCAGAGGTTACAGCCTCGAATATCTACAGGGGCAGGCAAAGCGGGTAGAGACTGCACCCAGGAGTCCCAGGGGGACAGCTTCTCTGAACTGTTGTCCTATATTACAACAGGAACATCTGTGGCCAAGTCAACCAACTGCCTCAAAGAAGCCAGAAAGACAATGTTTCGTACTATATAATTACCTACTTAAAAATAATAATGCCTAACTTAAAACATTTTAAATCATCATAGGACAAACACAACTTCTTGTCAGAACTGTCTGTTTGCAGACTTTTAGTCTATAACCTTTACAGTAAAGCTTCTGAAGAGTAGAAAGTCATCGTGATGGCAAAGCAGACACGCTGAGGCAAAGCCGGGGGGGTGACAGAGATGCACACGGGCGGCTCCAGCCTTGGAAATAGTCACGTGTCTCTTTGCTCAGCTATGAGGCCACAGGTGTTTTCCCTCTCCTCCCAAATAACTCTGCAGGCTCCCTACAGGATCCTGAGAGCTCAGATCGATCGTAATTTAGGTTTTGTGTGTTTTGTAAACAGAGTCTGTGCCAAGAACTTTAAAACAGGTTTATGGTTGTAAGTGACCATTCTGGCGATGGAGCTCTGGAAACTGATTCTCTCTCTCTATCCTCTGCTAATGTGAACGTTGTGGGGATGGGAGGTGCAGGGTTAGGGTGGAACACGAAGGTCCTGAGAGGGACAATATGAGAGGTAAAAATGGAGGGCAGTGAAGTTGGCATTAATCCAGTGTGTCTTTTCTATTATGCAGACTGAATTCAGATAATCCATATATGCTGATCACAAGGTTACCTGTGATAGGAAAAGATGAAAAAAATGACACCTAAATATCCACCAGGAAAGAAGGAGGAAACAAATTGTCACTTACAGAGTATTTTGAAAAGTGTATAATATGGATACCTGATTATGCTAAAATGCTACCTGAAAATATGGTAAGAATGGATTGCATAGAAAATTTCAACTATGTTCAAATAAAAAAAGATGAGTAATGCACCAGCAAGTTAATGCTGGTAGCTTCTGAGTGGTGAAATTATGGCTGAGTGAACAATTCTTTCCAAATCTCCATACTTTCCAAATTCTTGAAATTTAAACTTTATTAATATATTGGTCAGTGATGGATGTGTTTCCCATGATATTTTTCTTGAGAGGTGACTTTGTAACTGTGAATTCCTCACATTCTTTCATCCAGCCAAAAAGTATTATAAGCCATTTTCAGTTAAATTTCCAATAAATCCTTATTATAATCTGATTTAAATAAAGCGGTACAAAAAAGTAATAAAGCGATACCATAGGAACCTTCATTTAAGTTTCACCCCTTAATCTTACGTTACACTTCCCATTTCATTCTTACACTGCTTTTAAGCTTGAAAAAAGACATTGAATTATTAATTGCCACCCCTCCCCCATCTTTCTTGAAAACTCTAATTAAAAATCATATATTTGTTCATTACTAAGAATTGATAAAACGTCGCCTTTGTATTTTTTGAAACATTTTTTTTGTGTGTGTAGCTGCATTCCTCTTATGTAAGTATGCTTAGGACACATTTCTCCCAGAGTTCATCATCAGGCAAAAATTTATTTCTCTTGCTAACTTGATCTGTTTTCCCCCTTTGTTTATTTTTGTTTTACAGACCAGACTATGAAAAAGTCATGTAGCCCATTATTTTTCCTCTTTGACTTAATGACTACAGAATTAAGAACTAGGCAGTAAATTTTCTTAGTAAGGATTTCCTCATCTAATTTTTCTTCTCCATTCCTTTTCCCACTCGGCATGGAATTTTTGTCTCTTCTGTCATGTTAATGGGTTAAGTCTGTTCGTAGCCGTATTTTTATTGTAAATTGCCTAACATCCTTTTGGGAATAACGTGAAACATAAAAAGATTAAATTAAAATTTAAGAAATGAAAAGAAAAGGATGTACAATAAAATAAGAAAATAAAAACTACATTTTGAGATCACATGGCTTAATCCATTCGTTTTTTGCCTTGTATTAGTAGTTAAATTATACCTGTTAACTTTTTCCTTTCCCCAAAGCTTTTAGCTCTCTAATGATAAAGCAATCTGATCTCCATATTTGACAAGAAGACAACATGAAGTTGAGATAGATTGCTGAGTGACCTGTGAGACTTCCAGGAGGGACGTATACCCCCTTAAAGTGGGGTTTGCTAGCAGGTTTTTTTTTAGTCTCTTTTGAGTAATGAAGACAAAAAAATATTTAAAAAATTTTAAAAAGCTGTACTTTACAATTTGTGGTAGAACATAAAGGGAAAAATACAGTGAAGTATCCTTTTCCCCAACGCCTGCTTTTTAACCAAGGTTTTGAAAAGCCAGGATTAAAATTACAACTTTAAGACACACATTTACATTTGAATAATTTATTAGAATAGGCAACATTTATTTAAAAGGAATTATGTATATAGATCTTTCTGATCTTAAAAATTATAGCTTACCCTCAATGTTATACCCTCCTACAGACCCTTTCCAGGGTTTTTGTAAGTTTTCGGTATGTGACTAAAAGTAGTCGATTTTAATTAGTAAGGCTTTTTTGGTAGCTGTGAGGTGTGGCTTAGACTCCAGAAGCTTTCTCACTTACAAACGTTAAAATCCAAACAGCTTCTCTGCTCTTCTATTTTCAGTTTCCTTTATATCAGAGTTGCTTTTATATCAGAGTTTATAATGATTGTGAAGAGGGGGAATGAAAAGTAGCAACCCTGATGGACTGATGTTAATCTTGTCCACAACAATACCCGGCATGATTTATTACTGTTGCACTTATGATCCTTGAGTGATCGTAAAATAAAATCCTCAATTTAAGGCTGCGTGTCTACTAGAACATTATAATTTTGCAAATAGGAAACTATAAATTTTTTAAAATGTTGGATCCAACTTTTAAGAACATGGTGTCTTACTATGAACCTATAGGCAAGGACCGTCATTCCCTCTGATTACTTACAGCATTCAGATGTTTCTGCCACAAAAGGATACCAGGAAGTCATTTTGTAGTAATTGGCAAAATATTTGTCAAGTTGCATAGACCATCCATTGTTGTCACCTAAAATAAAGATCACAGAGCCGAAAAGTTCAAGAACAGAAATATTCTGTTGTGTCGGGGAAAACAGGTCCTCTCTTTAAAATAATTGAATGACCTATATGAGAATAGAATCTAAAAAAAAGTGGATACAGGTATATGTATAACTGATTCACTTTGCTGTACAGCAGAAACTAACACAGCATTGTAAATCAACTCTACTCCGATAAAAATTAACTACAAAAATAATGAGTGACTGACAAACAGAGGAACGTCATCTGGGAGCTCGTCACAACATTCTCCAAAAGGAACACATTATCTGTCTCCATATAAACTTGCTATTCCTCCTAAATTCTCTGGATTGGTGAATGGTCCCTACAATCTATCAAACTGCTCAAAACAGAGAAATTAAGTTTTTTGGAATATGCTCATATCTGATTAAATATAATTTGTACAATTTTCCTCCATCTCCATGTTATTTTCTTATTTTTCCATGGCTCATTAACTCTTCCATGAAGATTACATTTGGGGAAGGAAAGGTATTCTAACATAAGTGCTATGTATGCTGGTAAGAGTATACTTCCTATTAAAGTCCCGCTAAAAACAAACTGGAAAGAAGATAGACTACTTAAACATTGTACTTTTAGCAGTTTCCACCCTTTAGTATTACTTATTAGTTTTAAAACTTCTTTATTACAGAAGGTTTCAAAATAAACACCAGTAACAAAGTAGTATAATGATATCTCAAAGATATTATTATATCTCAATGATATCATTATGATATCTCAGAGATGACTGACGGACCTCAAATTTACCAACTGCAGATGTCAGCCTGAGACTCCAGCTGAGTGCCAGTAACTGGGTGGACAAGAGAAGCACCCCAGAAACAGCAAATCTCAGCTTCTGAACACCCAGGAACCAGGTCAAGGTGCCTCCCCGACCCTTGACATTGTAAAGAAGGTGGCACCTTAGGTAGAGAAAGAGGAGGAAGGGAAGGAAATCTGAGAGAATGGGCTTGTTCAGGCAAATAGAGATGGTAGCTTGTTGTGACTGTGGGATTTAGTGCATGTTTGCTCCCTCTGCATTCTATCTTCGGTTTAGAATGCTTTCTTGTTCTTCAGAAGCTGGTAACGTAGATCTATGTTGTCCAGATCCCAAGCAGCTCAGGTTCTTTTTATAGAAAAGCTTCTACCGAAGGGACTCACTCCTGCGAGACTGGAAGTTTGTAGACACCAGTCTTGTGGGTACCTAGCGGAGGTGGGGCAGTTATCGTGGCCAGTCTCAGGTTCCAGCTCCCTGGGTGAAGAGCTGATGAGCAGTAGTAATGGGGCAGATGCTTGCAACTATGGTGGTGTTTTCCCCACCCCTGACTCTTGCTTCTATTGTCTTTATAATGATTGTATAAACACATTCTTCTCTGTATGAAATCTCTTTTTTCTTAAGCAAAAGCAAAAAAAAAAAAAATCTAGAGTGGTTTCTCTTTCCTCCTTCCAGAAGGAATTGCAGATAACAGAATCTCAAGGATAGTAAGGTTGGGCTGTTTATCTGACCTGGATGGTTTTGAAGATAACGGTAGTCCGGTCACCATTACAAAATGGTACTTTCATAGTTTATGGCACACAGCAACCAAAAAAAGTTGCTTCAATGATCACTCTTGGCTTCCTGGGTTATGAGCCTCTTGGAAGGATAGACTCTGGCAAAGTGGATGCTATGGTAACTCATCAGAATGAAAATGAGAAATGTCAAGGGTTGTGGAATGAGATGACTATGGAGATGGCCCCAGAGAGATTAAGGAAAGAAAATGACAAGCTCAGGGTATGATGTCATCAGCTCAAGAAAATTCAGAGAACCAGGGAGCTGCCGTGACTACCCTAAGATGATCTTTTATCTCTTGGGACCTCAGGACTCAGATAGAATCTGATCCAATGGGTTGCTAAGGTTACAACATAAGCTGAATTCACATTTTGTCCTGTCTTTTAAGTGCACATTAGGACACTGATTTGGAAAGAGAGGGACCCTGCGAATTGTAATGGGACTTTTGAACGTGTTCAGTTGAATTTGCAAACCCTAAATCCTCATCCGACTGAGCCTTCCTGCCCAGCATAAATGGGCCCCTTCCCCTGTCTGACCAGGTTACTTTTTTGTTGGACGCCTGCTAGTTACTTTACTTGACGAAACTAACTTGTCAACTCTCCTAGTAACTCCATTTCGTCATTATTGTGAACTCTACTTACAGATGGAAAAACTGATTCTGAGAACTTTAAGTGATTTGACTAAGAAACAGAATTATTAAAAATAACCAAAGAATTAAAATAATACCATTATTTTAATGTTTTCTTTTCTAGGTCCAAAGATGATTGAATCAGTTTATACTCCTCTTATAGAAATTCCAACTTTTATACGACATTGTCTTTAAATATTTAGCTGTTACTATCTGTTACCTATTTATTGTTCTATTGCCTGTTTCATTTCCATTCTTGAGGCTCTTACATCAGCATTGTGTGAATTATACAAAAAATTATTTAACAACCAGAAGTAGTTATTAACTGGAATTTAAGCTTATCATTATTATTATTATCCATGGATCAATGGAAGTATTGTGAATCATTTGTAAAAAAAATTTAAAAATAAATTAAATTTCATACTAATGTTATGAATTTTTATACATTTATAAACGTTACAAATGAAACATGTGGTAGAGAAGTCTTTTGGTTCTGGGTATGTTGAGGCACTGATTATTTTTACAGACGAGTTTTTGTGTATCTACAGAGCGAGGGTGGAAAGGTCTGAAGGACTCAACCCCGCAGGCTGCCAGGGCCTGGTTGGGGGGCGGGGGAGAGGGCGCCCATGCTCACTTTCGTGTCCTGACCCATCCTCCTGGACCTCAGAACACAGCGATGGGACTCAGGCGAGGTGCTGCATCGCAGGGCTGGGCCTGTGTCCGCAGGTGGTGTCTCACTGCTGCTGTGACATTCATGAGACAGAGTGGTTGGGTGACTGCCGGAAGACATTGCTTTTCTTTCTCTCTTGTTCTTCAGCAGGCCCTGTATTTAACTGAGCTTTTCAAGTGAACTGTTGCAATTTGCTGCATTCTTACCATTAATAGGTGGTGCAGTGCTTAACGTCTGTTCTAAAGGGGTTCACTATACCTGGTGTAGTTGCAACACTTTAGTCCAACAAATCCAAGTGATGTAGTTATTTATGCTACTTCTCTGTCTCTTTCTCAATCTTATTATTTTCTCTCTTTTTCTACCTCACTGTACCTCAACACACACACACACACACACACACACACACACACACACACACACAGAGTTGAAAAGAGAGGGAAAAGAGAAAGAGAGGTGATGGGGAATTTGAGAATGCAGAAGGAAACAGGACAAGACGGCTTATAGCTCTCCAAGTGAGAGCATATGTTTTGCGGGGAGATCTCTTTTTAAATAGCAGCATCTTCAAACAAACAAGCTTCTTTACAATTAGCATTTACCTTCTTGCCTGCCTTCCCAAAGCATTTTCTTCTTCCCACCCATTACTTCCTCTCACCAGAAAGCAGGAACACAGAACATAGAAGATGTAGCCAAAATTGCAAAGTTAGCATTTTTAAGAAAACAGCTTTTGGAATATGTGTTTCTATATCTTAAATCCCATACCCTTCATATTTCAAGGATGTATGGGACAGTGGGCAGAATGTTTTTTCATACTTTCCTTGTGATCCCGCTGAAATTTGACTCTCTGAGTTTTCTCGAGGTATCACAAAGTAGAGAGCACAGTACAAGAGGGTATTGCGTTAGGGGATGTGGTTCCTAGTATGTGTTGCTAGTGCTGTATGAACAGCATTAAGTATATATATTTACTAAAAATAGGTTTCTTTAAAACTAAAAACATGTAATGATGCTCTGAATAAGAATGAATGACGTAGACCAAGAAAAATCTGGTCTTGCGTACTGCCTGAATAAGTATGTGCTAATTCAATGAATGAATGAATGAATGGGTCTCTGTCCTCAAAGACACTTCAGAGAAAACCCAGTCTCCCTGATGTTATAATAAAATTTGGGAACTGGGGCACTTAACAAAAGCACAGATTTCCAGGTTCCTCTACCGAAGACTCTGATTTATTTGGCCAATATGGGGTCTGGAGGTCTATATATTCCATCAATGCCCTGGGGGAGTCTTACAACAAGTTTTGGAAGAACTGCATTATGGGATTTTCTCTGACTAGAGCCCTTCTCATGTTGCAGTGGAGGACGGCTAGATTGAGCAGAAGAATCCTGTCAATCAGAAGGATCAGATTTCTTTTCCTTAGTAACGTTGCTGTTAACAAGAGGAATGCAAGTGGTCCGTAATTTAAGGGCACTTTGCTCATATATCTTGTTACACTTATTATAATCTGCTTCATACTGTGCCTATTTATATATGTATTTTATCTCCTTATGAGAGTACGATAGGAATTAATCTTCTTAGCTTATGTATTTTTATTGCCTCAGTGACTTCTAAGGTACTTTTAATATAGCTAAAACATGACTTTTACTAGCTCTCGTAAAGTATATAAAATAGTAAATCATTATTTCATTTGCATCTAGTATTAGTTACAATTTATTTTATGGAAAAGTGCGTTAGACACACCAATCTGAATTCTGGAGAATGCATCTCTCTTCTCCATGCTCTCACATTCCCCGGCATTGGCGCCGGGGGTGGGTGTGTGGCGTGTCAAGGGTTGACGTCTGGATGGGAATGGGAAAGCTCCAAGTTTCTTGAAGGCACTGCATGGCTGTGACGGTGCTATATTAGGCTTTCCTCAAGTTGCTTCCCAGGATTCTTCTTGAGAAGAGAGCTCTGTGGTTAAATATGCTTGGGAAATGCTGAGCATTTCCTGTGTCCCCATATATCCCCACTTGGAAGTGTATCCCCACCTGGAATTACTAATGCAGGCTAGTACGATGAAAGGAGAAATCAGCCTTAAAGAAACAGCTTTAATTTTGTTTAACCCTTTTATATGCCATCTTTTAATACATGTTGGGAACTGT